ATTAAAAATTGCATCACTTTATTGCATCTTTTTTGCAGATTCGAAAGATGTTGGTACCACCGGAAACAAAAACGACAACTTCCGATTATAAGAGAAAAACTAAATAATTTGAGTATTTTACTTTCCAATAAATATTCTTTATAGATAAAGTACATGAAATGAATTTTAGAAATGTTATTGAGACTCCAAATGTCTAGAGTAATGTCAAATATCTTTGTAAAATTCACTTCCGGTCGCGTGTTTTTCTGTCCTCAAAATGAGAAATTGTCTGAGCGAGATCTCAAAAACAGGTAAACGATTAAAACACCAAATTTTTATGAGTAACAGACCTTGAGGAGAAGGCAAAACCATTTTGGTTAAACGCGTCAGTCGTAACTTCCAGTTGTCACAGGAAGTGATCAAAGAAATCAAAAATTTTAACTTTTCTTTTTTAAATTAATACTTGCATCACTTTATTGTATCTCTTTCGCTGTTTTGAAATATGTTAGATTCGACCGGAAACAAAAACGTCAACTTCCGGTTTTAGGTGATAAACTACGTTATTTCGATATTTAACTTTCTCATAAATATTGCTTATCGATAAAGTACTTGAAATGTTTTTATGCATTTTGTAGGTACTGCAAATGTCTAGAGAAAGGTCAGAGTTTTTTTTAAAAATTCACTTCCGGTCGCTTGTTTACCTGTCCTCAAAATTAGAATTTGTTCTTACAATAGTGTTCGGCAACAGTAAACGACTGAAGTCTAAAACTTTCAGGACTGATAGTCAGTCATCAGTTTATTTGAATCGCAAGAAAATCTTGTATCGCAGTTACTTCCGGCCGTGAAGGAAGTGATGCAAAAAAGTGAATGGTTAATGGTTAGCACGTTGGATTTTCACGCTGACGACCAGGGTTAAATCTCCAGAGTGTCTGAATTTCTTTTATCATCTTCTCAGCTTGAATTTACGTTTTTATTTTCAAAATCGGACGGAAGACCTCTCATTGCTCGCAATGAGTTTCTAGTTATTATTATTATTCTTTTTTTCTACTTTCTTCTCCGGTACTTTTTTGTCCGGGAGTGTTCTCATAGAACTACTCATCCGATTGACATGAAACCTTTTTAGGGTTAATAGGCATGTTGTGTAGGTGTTCGGAACGAAGGTCATTTTGCGCGCACATGCATGCACGTGCGCGCGCATGCAATGAGTGAAATGAATGATATACTTAATGAAGCCGTAACTTTTATATTTCTTGATGAATTGCTTTGAAACTCAAAATATAAAGATACATTAGTAGTCTAGACAAGATAAAATGGTCAAATTAGCGTGAACTCACGCGCATGCACGTGCGCTCTTCTCTGATTGGCTGATACAAAAATCTCAATAATTTCCTTGTTTTTTGACAAAATACTTTGAAATTTAGTATATAAGTATATATTATAAGGTGCTACAACATATTATATCGGAAATTTCTTGAAAACACGCGCATGCAGGTATGCTGCAATCTGATTGGTTGAAACTTTAAATGTCTATAACTCCCTTGGTTTTCCACAAAACAGGATGAAATTTACGACATGGATAGGCACATAGAGCTCCTACATTATGATACTATCAAAATTGAATGCAAGGCCATGCATGCGCGTATGCTGAATTCTGATTGGCTAATATTTAAAGGGTAACATCTCTCTTATTTTTCAATGAGATTCTTTAATATTTAACACAAATATATGTATTGTGAGACACTATAAGAAAATTAAAGTGAAAAATGTAGAAAATATGTGCAAGCACATGCGCTGAAATTTGACTGGCTAATACCCATATGGCTATATAGGAGTAGTTTTCCAACGAAATACCCTTAAAAATAAAGTGTCCATCTATATCACAAAAGTATTGTCTAATTTATTGAAGCTTGTAGGGAATGGGGCATCATAAGGGATTTGGGAGCCGTTTGGGGAACATCTGTAACGGTTCCCGTTACAATTAGCACTAGTTACATGTATTATTCATGCATTGTTTTTCCCCCACAAATATTTTGTACAAAAGTAGTTCAAGTCTGTCCAATACTGATTATTCTAAACAAATGGTGGCCCTTAAATTACATTAATATACATCTCTAAATTGTAAGAATGGCAAATATAAGTTAATAAATGTTGCCTATGTGAATGAGGTGATAGAAATTCTCACAAATTAAAAAATATATTTGTCAGATCCTGGTGAAAATCATTTTTTTTTTCCCTGTTCAAATATCTTTGAATCAAAAAAAAAAAAAAAAAAAATTTAAAACGCAATTTCTCATAAAATATCAATACCGTATAAAACACGGTTATAGCAAACGCTTATTCATGCTTACAGCGAAGTGATTTTCATTCCCCATGGTTTTAATAAAATGTTTTGTGAACTAGCTTAATGAATATAATGAATTATGTTTGTAACCAATCAAAATTATTCATCCCTGGCACTATAAGCATGTTTTACTGTACTCAAACTGATATAAATATTATATCTAGGATTAGGCCTATACAAAGAGGAATATAAAGCTTACTTTATGGGAACACGTACATCTTGGCACAAAGCTTAATCCGATAATTTTTTTCCCTTTCATTGGTGACAGTACGAGATGCTTACTAAGAGGTGAATTAAATAAAACTTTGCTGGTACGGCCAGACTCATTTATATCCAGATCACCCGAGACACAATGACATCACAAAGCTATTCTTAGGAAACAGTTACTTATATTACAAAAAATATCGGTAGAGTATATATGCACTGTTGTATATAAATAGCCTAAACTATGATTTTGTTTTTCTTAAAAGTATCTTGGTACAAATTGCCACAAACACTTCAATTTAAGTGTTTATAGGAGAGGATGCAGTTATATGATGCAATCATTCACAAAAGCATGTTCCTCTGTCTTCCAACCCACTTTACAATATCAGCCCAATGACGTCGCTACCATAATATCTGAAAAGTCATCTCAGTTCAGAGCATGTTTACGACTGTAAATATCGTATGATTCTTCATCATATGACCATTACTAAAATAGTGCAATATGATATACTAGAGGCTAAAAATAAAAAGTTGGTAAACGTTGAACCTCAATTTTACATGGTTCTATTTAAATTTTTTTAGTTGTATTTCATAAACACATGACTCACAAGTATTTAAGAAGTCTTCAAAAACAAACTATTAACTGTACTTCTACAAGTATATAAGTAAGTTAGTAAAGCATGGGCGACATACATTTATATGTAACATGTGCTTTAGGTTTGTTGTACTTAGTTAACCTGGCAAGGATAAATTTTAGGAAGGAAACTACATAAATGCATGGTTAATATACAAATACTAAAGTCTACAATTATGGGGTACCTTTGTTATTTAATGCTCACAATGAAATATGTTATCCATGTTAAATAATTATTTCTTTTGTCTTGTATTATGACACAGGAATTTAATCTGTTGAAATATTGCAGACTGAAGAATCATTTACAAGACTTAAAAGAAAATATTTTTGCTTAAAGTCAGAATAACTGTACACAGTTGCATAATAACAAATAACATTCCTTGTCTATAGTTTCACTTTCAGAACAAGCATGTCAACCTAAACTAATAGTGTCCATCTAAACTGACTATAATTTCCTGTATCATTTTTTCTACTAATATTAAATGTTTGTTAACTAAATATAGGGGAAGGAAATAAATAGGTGGGAAATGAGCTGGTATACCTTATCGCCAGGTAACCAGGAAAAGCACCCTTCACCATCTCTACTCTGTGTTAGAGACCCCTCCCCCTCTGGCCCCACCTCATGCTGGGGGGAGGGGGGGTCAGACAGATCGTGTTTAGCGGGTTCTGCCTCTGCTTTATGGGGGACTGAGGTTCGTGTGTCTTTGAAAGCAGTTCTGTTTTGAGTGCGGCGTATAGGCCTTTTCTCAGATTTTAATTCGCTGTCATTGATTGCTTTTTGCAGACTCGGTGGGAGATGGCTAAAAGGCTCCGAATAAACACGATCTTCTGCATCCAGCTGACTTCCTGTTAACATTACTCGCTCGATTCACACTAACCCTACCACTTACAAACTCGTCATCGTAATCCAGGAAGTTAAAATTTCCTTCCTTATGCTCAGCAGTTAAAATTTGAAATACAGCCATTGGCTAAAATTATAACTATTGGCGCGAAATTTAAACCCACATCTTGATCTTGAAAGGGGGGCTTCAAAGAATATATCTTTAAGTTAACAACTAGTCTAGTTGTAACGTACCAGGACTTTGGTGAATTCTAGTGAGCAACACTTACCATAACGTAGGGGGTCTGAGAGCCGCCCTAGTCCTACTTTGGGGGGGGGGGTAAAATGCAAAAAAAAAAAATTCAATTCAATTCAATTTATTGATTCACCAAACATGTTGGCATACAACCATGTTACAAACAAAATGAAAAATACAGTGTGTTTTCAGATTACTAAAACATATACTAAAGTACATACATACATGCAAGTGTACAAATCAGTGAAGTCAACTACTTTTACAACTTGAAGTTATACATAATCATTATGCAAATAGTATAAACAGTATAATATGGACAGAGATAAAAAAAAAAAAAAACTTACATTGTTCCATTTCTTGAGGACTTATGATACTACATATTGGTAATGTACTGAACGCATATATTTTTACTAAAATTTCCTGACTATTGAAATATAAGAAAAGTACTTTTGTATCACCAGGGACCTATATAGGTCCCTGGTATCACATTAATTTTTTTTTTTTTAATAAATTCATGTGACCTTTCGATTACACGATTAAATACATTATTTACATGATTATCTATAATATGTGAATAATCAAAGAGGAATAACTTATCTCAAAGTAAATTAAAATAAAAATTGTATTTCACTATAACAATGATCAATAGAGCCCCGCCCTAACTCCAGAACCTCAAGACCAAAGGCTCACAATTTAGGTATAGGCACCCTTGCTTAAATTATCGTAACCATGCATTTAGATTTGTCTGCTAAGTACAACTGTATCCTACAACATGAGTAGAGATTTCTTTTTTAAATAAGGCATTTTCTCAAAATGATAATAGAGCCCCGGCCGCCCTTACACCGGAACACCAAATCCACTAAATTTCACAATATTGGCAGAGAGCTTATATATTTCTTATACATATAATACATATAATCAGGTCAATATTTTTTCTGTTTAATGTTCAGAAGTAAAGAAGATTTTTGAAGATTGCATTAATTTTGGTGGTTTTTGCCCCTCTCTTCAGGCTCGGGGGGGGGGGGGGGGGGCACAACGACCAAGTTCACAATTTGTGTTTCCCTTTATCCGAAGATGCAAATGGTTCGAGAGAAGAAGTGAAAAAAAGTTTATGACCGACGCATATAACGACGGACAAAATCAGATCGCAACAGGTCACCTGAGTGACTCATAGCTTTTTTTTTCAAAAAAAGGGGGGGGGGGGCAGCCCCAGAAAATCAATGACAAGCAGAAACAAAAGAGGTTCCTCAAAAAACTTTGAACCAGCCCATAATCGAAATTCGTGGTGGTGGGTGGTTGAGGGTTTGACCCTACTGCAACAAAAAGTGAAGGGGATGGGACACAAACGAATTGAAAACTTTTATACTATATTGGCAGCAAAAGATTAATAGTATTCTCGTAAAAAAGTGGGATGCCCCCCACCCCCCCACTTTCCGTTCACTACGTGCCTGCAAATTTCATACTTTTATCATCAGAAGTATAAACTGTGGATAGCAGGGAAACCAGCGTGTTTGACTCACACTGTCATTCACTTCAAACTTACTATACGTTATATATATGATACACCTCCTCCTATAAACTTACACCCTGAACCATCATTGTAAAGAAGAATTAACTGCGTAAAACATTTCTATTTACTTTGTGTCGCCAAATACATTACTTGGCATTCTTTATAGAACAAAGAAAGCCTATGTGACACTGATTTTTTTCCCCTTTATCATTCTGTTCTTTTTGATGTAAAATAATTGAAATAACGCATTTTATCATGAGTTTGTTAAAAAATAAAAAACAAACAACATCAATGTCTTTTATGTTTCTGTTAAGATAAAAATATTTCCCTCTCTTGACTGATTTCTTTGAAAATAGTGTACAAATATTGATTTTGTAGTGTTCAACCGTTCATCGATTGTAATTCGTTACATGTAGAAAATAATGAAAAGAAAATAATGAAATTAAATAATGAAATGAAAATAAAGCATAAAGCTATAAATAAGGTGTTGTGATTAGACTTTATCTCAAATGCAGACCTTAAAAGAAATTAATATAGCTTAAAAATATAGAAATCCATCCTTTTTATTTTACATTTGAAATGGGTGGGGTGGGGGTTTAAAGTAAAGTGCGGATCAAGCAAGGGATTTTCCCGTCTTCATTAAAGTCATCTACAAAAATATCTGAGAAACCATTTTCATAAATGTACATATGTATCATGTTTGATTACCCCCTTCCATCTCCAGAACTAAAATCATTGATAAAAACAATATGCTGTAAAGTATTTAGAGGGATGTTGTGTACTTAAAAAACGCCCCCCCCCCAAAAAAAAGGATAACAAATAATAAAACTAACAAACATAAAGATAAATAAATAAATATCATACAAATTGCATGTTCAGTGTTAATATAAATCAATGAAAATATCATTTGGGGTTATACACAATGTTTAAATGATTTAGGCTCTTTGTGTTCGCGGGTTCTTATATTTAAGCACGTCAAATACATGTATAAAAAATTCCACCCTAACCAAAAGAGAGAGAGAGAGAGAGAGAGAGAGAGAGAGAGAGAGAGAGAGAGAGAGAGAGAGAGATGAAATATTTCAGTAAGAGAAACTCTCCTTAAAATCCATGTCCCTTATACGTATTTCATCTTCTTTAATTCATCGTAACTCTGAAAAATATTTAATTATGAGATATCTTCTAAAGAAAAGTGTGCTTTTAAGGACCTTTAATAAACATGTACATGTACTACTGCGTAATAAATGTTTTCCGGATATTGGGAAAATTTTTAAATGTATAAAGGTTTAAATGCTGAATTCATTTTCATTTTCAACACAGGTTACATGTCATTTTCCCAAAGGAAAAATGTTCATATAGACAATGATTAATGTTAAATTGATCACTGTTCATCACTTAAATGAGGAAAATTTATGCCATTAAAGTGTAAAATTAATTGATCTTTTCCTAATAAAATGTTTAGAATTTTTGAATTGATCACAAATTGAGTAATGGACTGAAGATTTAAGAATATCTTATTTCACTAGTTCTATGAAAATACCATTGAATTAGAGCTTCTTATTTTGCTATGTATAGAGGGTCCTTTATAAAACTTCATGGAGAAACATGTGTCACAGGGTAATCGTTAAAGAAAACGCTGGATTCGGTTCAGTTTTGACGTTTGATAACAAAAAGAAATGAAACCAGGTATCCAGTATAATCATAAAATATCATAGTTATCAAGACATCGTGAAAATCGATGACTTCAAAAGTAACATGAAGGGTTGGACTTCTTAGACCGTAAAGGTAGAAATTTAATAGTTATTGGATTTGGCGGAATAAGAGCTTATGTAGTGCACGAAGTTAGTATACATGCATATTAATTATCAAATAGTGGTCTGTCATTGGTCCACTGGTCGTATTCGTATACCTGGTCAGTTTGTAAGCTAAAAATAGAAACATCACGTGACAAAATAAAACATTCACACATGACACTCATTCACTCAAACAGCGCTTTGTTTGATTAGCAATGTGCGCTAACCAAATATAAATTATTAACAAAACATTTAATTAAATATCAACTGTGACACATGATACATTTATTTAGATAAAGCTGTTATTTCTCGAATGTCGTATAAACTCACATACAAGTAGTATGTCTATGACTTTTCCAAGAGAAAAAAGTTAAAGTCCAATATTTTTATGGTGCATTTGTAAATTTTGATTTAAAATAGGTGAATTTTAAAGCTAGTTGTTCTTTAGACATTTTAGACCCATGCAGAATCTATCGAATCCTTCCTCTCCAATCACTACAGTTAACAGAATGGTTGAGCCTCTTCACTGGAGCTTGAAGTAAGCTCTCACACATTCTTTGTTCTAACATTAATATCTACATGTACATAGCAAAACAAGTAAATAACCGTAACTCCCCCCTCCCCCTCTTCTTTTGTTCAAGGATATCGTAATTATTGTTTAAAAAGTAAAGAAAGTAAAACCACTCCTATAGAGAGACTGAATTCAAGAACGAATAAACAAGAGGCATATGGGCTACGGCGCTCACATGAGTCCCCACATGCCCTGTTGTTTTTGTGGAGAGTTTGAGACATTTTTTCCTCTTTATATAAACCATGTAAATCAGATCCCATATTGTGATCACAAACTTGTCTCAGGGGCACACTCACTTCACCAAACTTGAATCCACACTACATGAGAATAAATGTATATCAATATGAATACTTGTCATTGTTGTCCTTCTGTTCTACATTAAAAGATATTCTCTCTGTATCTGTATATATATCTTTTACTCTAGATCTGACCCATGGTGGACCTTTACATCCTCCGGGGGAAAATAACTTGGCCAAACATAAATCTGCGCTTCATTTGTGTGTGTGTGGGGGGGGGGGGGGGGGGGCTAACTGAGGCCCTGCGATATTAATGATTTTAAAATTTTTAAAAGTTTTTTTAAACCAATCTATTGGGCATTGGTTGGTAATATTTCTATATAAATATAACTAGTTATGACCATGGCGTTCTTATGAAGAGGATTTTTACAAGTTTCTATTTCTACAATTGTGACCCATTCTTGCTTTGGCGGCCAGGATCTGAACACTGTGAATCATTACCACATGGGGATGTTTGTTTACTGATATGATCAATTATGATCTTTCTGCTCTTGATGAGGTTTGTTTTCTATTTTTCTAAATTATCTCTCTCCCTCCCCTTGAAAAGGTCGTGACCCTTTAATTTAAGAAATTTGTGCCACTTTTACCTAATGGGGATGCTTTGTGGCAATTTTTTTTTTAAATTGGCTCGATCAGTTGTTTCTGACGGGAAGTCGAAAATGTAAACTGTTATTGACAACAGATGACCTTTGATAAAAAAAATCTTTAAAAAGAAAGCAAAGAATAAGCTTGGCTTTAGATTTCTAAAATTCTACATTAGTTACGTTCTATATTCCTACAAGAATAATTTCCCGTATATTTGTGTCATTTCTAAAGCATCTAGGGCATGGTTAAGATTTTTTAGTCCTATCTTAACAAAATATTTGTCAAATGCTTTTTCATAAGGGCATCAAATTTGTGTACAGAGAACGACAAGTTTAAAAACAATGTCATGTATCGACCCCCTTCTTACATGTAATAAGTGTAAGATTTCCTTCTTTTGCATTGATTGAAGTTATGGCAGTCAGAAAGGGGGGGGGGTGAATTCACGATTGGGTGTTAACGTATTTACCCCTTCTACCTTTTAAAGAAATCAAAATAATTTTGTTAACAAAATATTCATTATTCATCTGTTTAAAGTAATGCTTCTATATTTTGAAGAAAAAAAATGCAGAACCCACCAAAATAGTACACATAAAAAAATCTTGTTTACGGTGTTTCCCTCCCCTTCACCCCCTTACCAGAAACCTGGTGAAGGCCATGGAACTATTTAACTGCTATATTCATCATCTTATAAAAGCAAATAAAACGCACTTAATATTATGTTTTTCAGAAGGAAGGAGAAAAAGGAATTCTTTGCAAGAATTGAAGATTAAGTGGTTGTAAAAACGACACAGCAACATAACTCCTCCAAGGCAAAAATCCCTGCATATAACACAGAGTCCTAGACTTTAATAGCGTGAGGATGAAAGTTGTCTGTATTAGGTGATGACCAAGAATGACACAATGAAGTCTCTTGAGAACACAGCTTAGAATATCGAATTCTTCATAAAGAACAGGTACGTTAGGAGAACTGAAATGCACATGAAAGTTCGTTTCTTAGCTGACGGATAACTTCTACTTAATTAACTTTGGCAGATTAGGCCCAAGTAAGAAATCTTTTTGTTGCCCCTAACACGACCTAAATCTTGCCGACTGATTATTTTTTTGACCAAAAATGTCTAGATATTTGTTTAAATTAACTTTTTAAAATCCAATTTCATCCAAATCTTTTTTTTTAATCAAAGAAGTTGTTTTCTTTCTATTATTGTTTGTTACAAAATAGCGGACACAACATGCGGTTTCAATGGGTTTTCTGAAAAAGAAAGTTCATTTTGTAAAACAACGGCGTCCTAGTAATCCCATATGTCTTAAACATAAGAATCCTACACTCTTAATGAAACATTTAGTCAATTGCTAATTATATATATATCTATAGTGCACCTTTTTTGAATATTGATTACTAAGGTACTTAGTAAGGCCAGTGTCATCAGGTGTCAACTATATAGTTTCTTGCATGATAAGCAGGCCCGTTGGAAGCAATTTCACTTTGAGAGGGCACAACCATACATTTTCAGTTGGGGGGGGGGGGGTACTATCAAGTACCAAAATTCCTTGACAAGCCAAAAAAAAAAAGGTCACCAGGCGTAATTATTGAGGGGGCACAAGCATATAATAGCTGTTTTCTATGATTTTCTATATATCAGCAAAATTATTAAGGCGGGGGGGGGGGGCACGGCCCTCCGTGCCCCCCTCCCCCGGCTCCTACGGCCATAATAAGTTCAATTAATTACTGTTAATAAATGTATCCTTTACCTTCCAAATGGGTTTTGAAATCTTCAAAACTAATTTTAAGACAACTACAGCTTGATAGCTAAAGCTAGTATTCCTCAGATGTCTAGTACACAATCCTTTAATTAGGCCCGCGAAGCTAGGTTGTTTTGCTTGCTCTAAGTCCCTTCAAGAATTTTTCACACATGTTTGGACGCCACCCTTGCATGTTGAGGGCTGTTAGACCTGTGATACCTACGGCCATGAAGCAGTGAAGTATTTTTTCGTGCTTACGACTAGGGCCTAGTATTTACAGTGAGATTGGAACCCGTAAATTAAGGATTACCTCCTTACGTTGCGACTCTAGAACCACTGTGCTACGAAAGGCCCTTGAAAAGGCACTTTGCCAGTGCAGGCACTGGAAGATGTTAGTATCTTTGGGTGTCTAAGGATCTTATCTTTTTCAATGTTAGAAATCGACACTGGTGAGATGTAACTTATATGTTCAATTGAACAATAGTTGTGAATTAGGCTTGTTTTCACAACCAATTTGCATTATCTTTTGTTTTAAAATTGCTTTTTTTTGTTTTGTTGTAATTTTTAAAAGTATTATTAAACTTAATTAATTTCAGAATGTTTTTCAAAGCATCCGTAAGAAAATAAACTTATTTTCCTTCCTACCTACCCAACTTAAGGAAATTGGGTCGGGATAGGAGAAAAACGTATTTTAAATGATGCCCAAGTCTGTATCATTTTTTAACATGCTCCGCCATTTATACATTGTATGTATACAGCAATGAATTCGGAATTAAAACAAACACGGAAGAAAGCTGGGGTATGCCTACCTCGTCCGACTGGATGTCGGCAATCTGGATTTTGCCGAGCCGGATTTGCCGACTGTTGGCAGACCACTTCATACTTCTCTCTCTTCGTGTTTGCATCGTCCTAGGGTAGGACACACAAGTCAATAAACGTGCTAGTAGCAGTTCGTCCTTGGAATACACTAACCTATGAACGTGCTAGGAGCAGCAAGATGAACAACGGTGCATCTTTGTGTGTCCTTTTCAGTTTTTGTCGGAAGTTATCTCCAGCATACACAGGAAAGGTTTCCGCATGAAGAGGCAGTTTTCCTCTGTCAGTGCAAGTTCTTTTTTTTCTTTTCACCTCAGTCTCATAGTTTAACAATAAAAAATACAGAATGCACGCTTGTGCATTAACAATTTAAACGTGTTGAAAATCATCAGTATCAAAATCGATTGAAGGGGAAATGGTTAACTTCAATGAATCATCTTTAACCCCCGACGATGAAATCCATGACTTTGTAAGAAATATAAACATCCTTAAATGTACGCATTTAAAAAGTGTTAGACAGCAAAGACCAGTAAGTGAGGCATCCGGAGGAAGTTTCCTCTCAATATCAATCTCTCCATTCAATTAACAAAACAAGGAGGAAGTGAAAGACGGAGGCAACGCCCACTTTAACCGGCGTCTTGAGACCTCATGCCAATCTGTATATAGAGCTGCTGACAGAACGCGGGGCTGGGAGGCAACCAAGTGTCGTGATTCAGTGAAATTATTAACAACTCGGAAGGCAAAGCACGTTCATTAATATATATGTCACACAGCATGATAAATATTGTGTATATGTATTTATCATGTAAAGGAGACTTATAGTGTTAAAAAAAATAGTATACACAATACATTTTTTTTCAGGGTACCCACTTCCTAGACGCGGAGTGAACACTGCATCTCTTCACGGGGTCAAACACTGAAGCGAACAAGATCACTGAATCTTCAGAATGAGTGACTTCCTTTCGTTGAAGTGACAACTAATATACACATAATGATATTTAACACTTTATTGCACATATACATAAAATAGGTTTGGATTATCACCTTATACATCATATCCAAAGGTTCTAAAGCTACACGTACAATAATAGGTAGAGGGTTTTGTTATACATATCAAAACCTTGACACCATTTTTCAATTAACAAAAGAAACGTTAATGTTTAACGCGAGAAAGGAAAAGAAATAGCACAAAGCATCACTGTGTTGACTTAGAAGCTTTATAGGCAAATATTATATTGATGAATTTTATATTGAATTCGTGCAATAAATCACGCACATTGCTACAATCGCAAATATTACGAACGCGTTTCACACTGCTAATTGAAGGAAGGTTTGTTAGCGGAGAAGCACTTTTTTCAATGAAATTTTACCTTATCCTTTTCAAAGTATAATCATAAAAAATGCAAAAATTCCATTCTGCATGTACTTCTGAAATGTGACAGACATGTCCTTGGACTTCAAATCTACGGAAATTTTACTGAACTAAAGAAAATATTACTTATTGAAATCTTGTCAAATTTGGTCTTATATTTAAAAAAAACAACAACACGTTTTTCTTGAAATTGTCTGAAGGAAACTTGAATCGTTAATGTCCAGGTTTGGTAAAATAATTATACAGATAGATTTACTAAACTACTGTATAAAAGAGACGTCACGTCAACACTTAGTCGGGATGAGCCTCTGGTAGCGAGTGGGACAGGAGTTGTCGTTCTTCCTCTGTAAGGTGCGTCACGGGATATTCGTACAGGTGCTCGACAAACTGCTGGGTCCTCCTGGCGGTCTTTACGGACTGGATCCGCCTCTTCTGGATCCGTGACAGACGGTTCTCCTCACTCATACAGTCAAACCACTCCCACATGTGCGGATCCAACTGACTGAAAGAAGAAACGAAAGCATGAGAGAGAGAGAGAGAGAGGTAAATGTACACGTACAGGTAAAAATGCTTCATATGTTTAACAGACATGCAAACGTATGTTTTCCATGTATAAAGGACAATATATATGTTGCACATAAAGAATGGAGGGTACAAGGCGTGGACAACCCCCCTCCTCTGAGACAAGATATACATCTCAATTTCAAAAGTTTATTAAAAATAGTTATAATTTTGAAAATTGTGTTGTCAGTAACATCATTTGTAAACACATTTGATTCCTTTATTTCATTGAAAAACTTACTGATAAATAATGTATTTTTCAGCTATATTTTTAAAATATGTGAAAAAAAGCCTCTCGCATGATTCGAACTCACCAAAGCTGTCTGTTCAAATACATGTAAAAAACGCGTTAACCACTACTACGCATCATTGGAGTGTTTTAGTATGGTTTAAATAAACGAGTTTGTTGAAGCATATCATTTTTGCAGATATTTTCTTTTTTTTTCATATAGAATGCATTTTCATAAAAAATGGGCCCAGACTCCATTTTTTTAAAAACATAAAATAGATTTTACTTTCATTATCACGTCATTTAAACGTTTATTTGGAATGGAGACTTGACCTATTCTTATTCAAAAATGATTTTTTAAGGCTTCAATAGACTCATTTTCTACTTGATATGCTAAACTGTTAACTTCAAAAAAAAATATCAATCAGTTAGTTTTTTAATTAAATAAAAAAAAAAACAACAAATATGTTAAATATGACATAATTTTTGAAAAATACAACTTTTCGATGAACTTTGAAAATTGAGAGATATCATGTTTCAGAGCAGTGGATTGGTTCGTCTTGTACGTCCTTATTCTTTACATGTGTTAAATACTAGTATATGATAGTTCAGTATATGTTAAACACATTTGAAGTCTACATATGTTTAACATAATTGTGCTTCAAAAGTGTGACGAACATATGGTACGTATACTACTAAAATTCTGATGTTGAACATGTATTGAAAATACATGTACCTTAAACGTTGCTTGTGTTACGTCGTAAATATATATCGCTATTTTAACCTATATATTTATTTCTTACCTGGCTAGACAGGTGTACAAAGGTTCCAGTGACATCACAGATATAGCACACAGGTGTAACATAGATTTTGACAGAGGTCGCTTTGCCCAGTAATTTACATCTTCACTCATTTTTTTCTGAAACCAAAATTAGAAACATATAATTTAAGGTAGTCCGATCCTCAGGTTCTTTTTACAAGACTTTTTTTCTTTTTCTAAGGCTTCAAAGAACCCTGAAGGATGTTGAGATGCATGAAATGAAAAATGTTGAACGAAAAGATTTCAATTTCAAGCTTCATTCTGAGACTTTTTAAATTAAATAATAATTCTTAGAGTTATCGTTCATGGCTGAGGAGCAAATATCCTTAAATGGAGATTATTTGTCACTGTCTAGACTTGTTAATAGACAATTAGTCAAATACAGTTACATGTTCCTGGGCATCTGAAGCCGGTAAATTGATCTGGAACTTTTTACATAGCTCCTGTAAAGGTATCTTTCTTGGCGGAAATCCTTTTTGTTCCAGAAGAACGGAGTAGCCGACCTGAAATTTTGACCAATTCTTGTAAGTTAAAGTTTTTGCTCTACATGAAATCTATACATATGATTTTTACCTATTAGTCATCATTTAGCTTACCTGTGTGTCAAAATAATGACGTATTTTTATGCTGTATGGATGAAGTAACTTGCTGGCAATGCCTACGTCATGAAACACCTTGAATAAAAAAATACTATAAAACCATCTTTTTTTTTAATTTATGACGTATTACTTTTTGGAAATATAGAGCAGACATTAAAACGTTCAAATTACTGGTACCTTAACTAGCTCTACAGACTGAAACAGCCGTATGAGACCACCAGCTAGTACGATGGTTGGACAAGATTTCACGTCGAACACGTACACATCTCCGGAGGGAACACATGTTGTCACAGATGTTAATACATCTAAGAAAGTTTTTGTCAGAAAATAATTCAATCTGAGTTATTATTATCATTAAACTTAAATCTTAAAATTTGATTCTTTCACAGAATGACCACCACATAAATACACTATTTACTGGAAGCTTAATTGTAGACGATGAGGAAATCAAAAGCTAATACTAGGATATCATTAATCCTCAAAAACGAATTTCTGTTCAAATTTGTCAAACTCGGTTGTATTCAAAAAAGAAAATGATACAAAATATTACAGAACCCGAATTGTTTTTCGATAAATTGCCTAGGATCTTACTTATATGCCTTGTTCCCTGACAGGAAACAGCTACGACGGGTTCACATAGTAATTGTCTCACCACCGATTCAGCCCCAGCTTTAGTTGACACAATGTTGATCCGAGGCATATTGGCTAGACCAAGAGTAATGAAAAACTATCTGCTTGTCATAACCCTGAAACATTTAGTTCTTTTTTGTGAAACATTTCAAACACAGGCATAAGAAGACAGAAGAAAATAAGCAGGGGCGTTTACGTTAAAATTGTCAATTTATTCGAAGTCATTTTTTCAAAAGATTTTTCGTCTCACGGAGTATAGTATACGTTAGCCTCACATTTAGGGGGAGGGCCGGAATTTTCCAATAACCTCGTTACATGTATGATAAGTAATCCATCCAAAAAATACAAATGCTCTCTTGTAGAATATTTAACTTATATTTGTATGTCAATAAAATGCAGATTCCACACAGGTCGTTGTATTGAATGATATTCAACACATGTATTAAGAAACAGTCCTATGAACTTCAATTCTAGCTGTCACCAACATAAGATATGAAATAGATAAAAACAGTGACAATTGAATAAACCGAATAAAAATAAAAAATAAAATTTTGGAATTAACAAAATCGAATTTTATAAAATGTTAATTTACCTGGTCAGGTGCAAAAGCAGGTTAGATTTTGAAATTTGTCTGAACTCCTGGGGATAACACGGCAGACACTTACCTTTTACAGAAAAAGAACAAGTTAAATGTCCGGTAATCCTTTAACTCAGTTCTGATCATTCACAATCGATCTTACATAACTCTAGTTAATGCTTTCAAGATTAAGGTAGAAAATACATAAGATATCTAGGCCTACCTGGTCTTATGCAACAGTCCTGTGTTTCTAGGGAAGCCGTCCGCCGAGGTCTTTACGTGATGAATTATTAATAAACACAACACCTTCTAATCGAGGATCATTTATTGCAGAAATATCGATAAAAAATTTCTCAGTGAAAGCGCAATATTGACAATTAAACCTGAACCGGCTGTTTAAAGTTTAAGCACAAAACCGTTGATGGCTACCAAATAGACTGTAGATGTCATTAGATTTAAATGGACGGAAGAAAAGAGTGGACTATTATAATCTATTCAGGTATAATTTGTTTAGAAAACATTAAAATTTCACCGGGAAAAAGTAACGTATGAATGTATAATTACAGGTTCAATCCACAGTCCTGGGGTAAAGTATATTTAAAAGCAAACACTGTTTGAATCAATGGTTTTTTTTTCTTCTATAGATCAGGCTGGAAGAAAATTTAAACTACTTTTGAATTTTACAGGATTATCAAAACAGAAGTACAACCTGCGCAAGCCGAAAATATATTAAAAAATAATCAAATTTTCTTTTTAAAGACAGCATTTCTCCCATAACATAGTAGTAAGATAGTTAAGTTCATAGAATGAGTCAGATTCCCACAAATCGACGACAGCTTACGATAACATACTAGTATATGCACTAGACAAAATTGCTAACGCACCACTTGTTATTCTTATTTGTGAATCGAACATTTACCCGATAGGTAATAGTATATATAATACACCATCTTTTCCAAAACAATGGGATTGACAAATGTCTTGGTATCATGACAAGACCCTTAAAGGGGGAGGAAATAAGCACCACCCTCAATTTTACCTGGTCTGTGAACCCCTGTCAATCAGATGAAATTAAGCCTGAGATTAAATACTGAAAAATGATTGACATTTTGTTACTTGCCGTTGTGTATATCTTGTATACCTTGGCTCGGGATCGTACCGATCATTGAATTAACATTCAGTCTTTGATGCCTACCGCATACATCGTGATAAAGAAGCAGCCAGAGCTGATATGATTTTTTTTACTTTATGATAAAGTAATTAGCCATATATGATTTATATTTAATCAGTCTGTCAAATAATTAAATAAATGAAAAAGAAAATCAGTCATGTATCTATTTAAATTGTAATTAAGAAAGGGGGTTCATTTCACTATACAATCTATAATGCGGTATAGATTATCCAAATTTACACGTACATCGATTTTACTTAAAACAGAAAATACTGAATTGCTTTGGAAGCATCGTGTAATTTATTTAAATAATAATTCCTTTTTTATAATTATGAGATAGTCATATTGTCCAAGTTGAAAATTTTAAGACCTGTAATATTTCTTCGAGACGTGGTGATGAAAGTTACGGTAAAATAACCAGTTTTAAAGAGAAATAAGCTGTATTATAAAAGCTGTCATTGCGTGTGCAAGTTATGTTTAGAATTATGGATCCCGAGGAAAAAAGTAGGATAAAGTGATTATATTCCCGTTTCGTCTACCTGTCGGAGAAACAATACGCGGATGCCATGACCATTTTTACGAAACATGCATCATGGGTTAATCACATAGGAATTATATTAAAAATATTTATCTAATTTATTATATATTTTCTACAAAATTTAGACTTCCAACAGGATTTCTAAGTTTTTTCAGGACCGCGCTTTTTTCTACTTTCGTTTTGCGAATGACTATTTCCCTCGGTGTCACCAGCTTTCAACCAAAGATTTGAAATTTATTAATGCACAAAATTAAACTAAAATTGTCTCCTTTATTCAAATATATTTTTAAAAAAGAATTGAACTAAAGGAATCAGTCTACATAAAAAAATTAGCATGATTTATTTCAGAAATTTGACGATCAACATTTCGATTGACCAACACGCGAAGTAAAACAATGTCTTAGGAAAACATTTTCAGGTAATACTGTGTATATAGGTAGGTATACACAAGCCAGCTTGGTTCCCTCGGGGCTTCTCAGCCGTTTCAATTTAGCTCCACCCCACTCCAAATTTACCTGAGGAAAACCGACCGGTTGAAAACCTCGGCCTTTAAATGACCTTCTTGCCCGAAAACCAATTTTTCGACGTGCACTGCGAACCGTTTTTGCCCAGATATGAAGTTGGTGATCACCAAAGGTGGTCCGTGAGGTTGCCACAGAAGCAGTCTCCCTGTTAAAAATCAAATAACATACAGGTATTGACTATCATATCGCCTAGTAGTCATTCAGTGCCTTGGTGTCCATACCAAATCCACCCAACTTCCGGTTGACCCAATTTTGTGGTACAATTTTAAAATTATCGTGTGCTGCTTACTTAATGCCCTGGTTATCTATAGTAAACATTTTTATGTTTGTTAATCTATTTGAAACAATTTCTCATTGAAGGAATTCACAATCTTTAAATTGTTTTTATTTTTTACAAATTTCTTCATAGAAACCCCCTGCAGCCACCATACAGTCTGCTTTAGCACGCTCTTCTAAGGTCAAACGCCGCACACTGTGCAACTTTTTTTCTGAGTTTTTAATTAGTAGAAATGTAAAGAACACAAACACAAAGAAAAAAAAATAGATTTTATTCTTCCAAAAAAGTATGGACACGATTTTAATTTTTTCTATGAAATGGTTACGCTTCAGTAAACATTGTAGTTATCTATCAGTAAAAGACATTTAAATGCCTCATTTTTTATTTAAGTAATATAATTATATATCAAATACATCATTAACAAGTTTTAAAAAGTAAAATATTAATTTCCTTTGGTGGTACGTTAGCAATTTTATCTAGTGTACATGTCATGTATATGCAATTTATCATTCTGACACTTAAACACTATTTAATATACAAGGAAAAATATCGTTGGATTTGTTTGTTGCGCAATTTATTTAATCTGAATAGACATTCCTTATCTGAATTTGAACTCATAGTGCCGATAGTTCATTCTGTAACCAGGGGAGATAAGCGGTGATTTTCGTGAACACGTTTGGTTTACCCAACTCGGAGCAAGTGGATGATCCCCATGACGTCGCACCCACCAGTACAAACGAATCATGACGTTTACACACCAACGGCCCTCCAGAATCTCCCTAAAATTTATAGCAAAGCTGACAATCATCAATCAGGAGTCTTCTCCGAAATGCAGCTCTACTGCTTTAAAGCAAATTAAACAACAACACAGTTGTCATACCCCCCCCCCCTAAAAAAATAGTGATTAAAATGGAAAAAAATTAAAACGATTGAAATTATTTTTTAAAAAACCTTGTCTTTCAGGATACGTTAAGAAGTAAAAGCAGACGTTCAATGACAGACAGACGAATCTTTACCAATGCGATCGAAAGAGTTTAAATAAATAATATGTTGCAATATCTATTCTCTCTCCCCCATCTCTTTTTCTCTCTATTACCCGGCATGCCCCTGTGTCCCCACTTCCTATACAGAGCTGTTTGTCGGTTATGACACCGTCCCAGCTGGAGTTACACGTCAAAGTAGAAGTTATAGGAATGCGAAGATGCCGTAGTACAACATTGTCACCAGTTCCTTTAACATAATAAACATTAAAATTATAAAATAGACCTAAGATTTCTCCCTCCATTATAAAATCTTTCTTTCTTGTACAAATGATATCAAGGCGACATCAAACAGGCCCGTAGGAAGCAATTTCACTTTGAGGGGGCACAACTATACATTTTCAGTTGGAGGGGCACTATCATGTACCAAAATTTCTTGACAAGCTAAAAAAAAAAAATAAAAATAAAAAAAGGTCATCAGACGTTATGATTGAGGGGGCACAAACATATCATAGCTATGTTTTCTATAATATTCTACATATCGGTAAAATTATTGGGGGGCACGCTCCCCCCCCCCCCGTTCCTACGGCCATGTCAAACATTAATCTATTCACTATTCCGATGAGCGGCTGTAACTTGAATATCTAAAAATAAAATTAATTTCTAACCTTGAGTATAACCCCAGCCACTGATGTAACAATGGTCTGTATCAGTAAATACGTCATCTTTCTGAGGCAGACAGGCTGTTCTGACGTAATGTCCGGCCAGATTTACTGGTTGTGAGAGCTGGACTAAAGCTATGTCATTGGGGAGGCCATGTTCAGGGGAGTAGTTGGGATGCTGGAAGTTCAAGAAAAATTTGTATATCATATTCAAATACAGGGTTTACTAATACTACTATCTATTACCGATTGTCAAACGTACTATAAGCACTTTTTGGATCGTTGTATTCCGCTCGTTGTTCGAAGTGTATTCTTGGTGATGTTCGCCAAGTAACAAATAAACACCGGAAATGGATTGTCTATCAATGAATTCAGTTAAAAGATAATCTGCTCAAAAATTTAAACAGATTTGGCCATCAAAAATATCAACTGCTTTAATATCTATCTCGAAATATAAAGGAACATTCTAGATTATTAATTAACTTATATAAAATGAAGCTTCCTTCGAACACCTCTGGCTTACCCATAGAGACAGTGAGCCGCGGTAACAACCCATTGATCGGACACTAGCGTCCCTCCACAGAAATGGCCGCGGTCATTCTGAAAACTGACTTGCCAGGGCCATTCACCATCCAAAGCTGGGTCACCTCCCACCACTCTTAGGCGCGGATCTAAATGGCGTGTTTGTACCCGTGTTATTAGTCCGCACTTGTCTGTGCCTTTAAAATAAGACAGGTTACAAAGATAATAACCTTAGTATCTATCCAAACTTAAAGAAAAATCATTATAAACTCCATAAATATACATGTATAACTGAAAACAGTTTAGAACACATCCATAAAACTCGTAAGACACATTGTGAAAAATTAATTACTGATCATATAGTTTTTCATACTGTATTTTAGGTTACGTCGTTATGTGATAAAAGTAGGTAACCTGGATGTGCTGGTTCAGGATTAACAGTAGATGGCGCTGGTTTGCAGCAAACATTCTTTCTACATCCTAAAGCATATTGGTCTATGTAACCATCACAGTGGATGTTTGACCGAATGCACGAACCACCTCTTGTTGTGCACGTGTCGACTCTTGCATGAGGCTTTCCTAAACACCAAAGATTCCAGTCAAAGGATTGCTACATATAATTTTAAAACCAAATTTTGAAGTCAAAATTGAACATTACCGACAATGGATTCCATATTTATAAATGCCAAAACGAGAAGAAAAGACCAAACCATGGTGTTAAAGTTCAGTCGAATCACCAGAGGTTTCAAAACGAGATATACTAGTACCCACCTCTTTCTTAATTCTCAGATCCTCTTCAAAGAAAGGCTGTCCTTGTCACTACAAAAATGGTAAGATATTACTGGAGACATTTTTCTACAGGAGTGCTGTGGTTATCTTCAATTCCGCGCCATTGCCAAACAAATACTGTTTATCCCATACTTGTTGGAATTTTCCCGACCTCTGAGTACTTAAATTTGTTGTGACAAACAATTTCGTTGTTTTGATATATGGTCATTTATATTGACGCCAGATTTATTTACACTAATTGAAATGTGGATCCCTGATTAGTTAACTGGAGTATACATTTAAAAAAATACTAGTCTCTTTATTTTATTTTTTTTTCTTGCTAAAAATTCGATGTTTTTGTTATTTCCTCTAGATCTTGTAGTAAAGTTATAATAAAGGAACTATGTCTGCTTTTCACCTGTGGTTTGTATATATATATTTCTGACTGTTTGCTTATCAGCAAACTTTATTTTAAAAAAACTGTGATAAGATTTTTTTTTACTGCATGTGTCTTGGTTTTTGGTGTATACGCACCAGAATAATTATTTAGGAAAGCGCAGATGAATAAAGGATTAAGTTGTATTTTTTTTTTTTTTTTTTTAGAAAACATGGGTTGTTACAACGCGAAATGTAATAACAACGCAAAATGTAATAAACTGGGATTATTACATTTTCCGTTATTACATTTTGCGACGAGATCAACACAAAATGTAATAACACAAAATGTAATAACGCGATTTTTGGATAATTACATTTTGCGTTATTACTTTTTGCGTTCGGATTAAAGCAAAATGTAATGATGCACTTTTTGGTTGTTAGATTTTGCGTTTTTTATTTTTTGCGTCGAAGACAACGCAAAATGTAATAAAACAAAATGTAATAAAACAAATATAATTGTTTTTTTTTTTTTGGTATTGTTTTCAATGCGAAACATCACAAAATTGATTTAAACATATAACAATGGGGAAACTCGATTTAGTAAACAGACAGACCTATAAGAATATTAGACAAACATTACGGCCTTAACGGACATTATTAAATCTAATCGTATATATTTTTAAACTCTATTTCTAACATGACATGTCTGTTTATAAATCAGTCTGTACTATATATCCATCACTGACATTCTTAATTACCAAAGATTGACCATGGGTCCATTAAAAGCTCTTGATATGCATGTACAACATGCATGTGTACATTGGTTAGCAAATTAGAAGTGCATGTGTGTGTGTGTGTGTGTGTCTGGTGAGGAGAAGGGGGGTAGGGTTTACTTCGCATGTTGATCTTTGTATTTTTATGCGCATGCAGAAACAATCCATTTTATTATTAGAGAGAGAGGGGGAATTTTAGTTTTGCTGGTCTGCCTGGTCTGCAATGCACATGATTTGTAAAACAGTGTGATATCTTAATTGTCAAGAAACCCCCTTCCCGCTATAGTTACACTTGCTAGTAAAAATAGATTTCTTTTCTAAATTTCGTGCATGTGCCTATGCAAAAAGAAAAAGCAAACCGATACACTGATAAACGAAATAACCCTCCCCCCCTCACACACACACATGTGCACGCACGTTTCTAATTTGCAACACCTATGATTTGAATATCATCTGATTTTAAATGGCTAATGATATCAATATATGATGAAATCAGATCTATTGTAAGAATAAGCATATTGTTTTATTTTCCTTCCGTTTACTTTCTTCATCCACTACTCAATTGAAAATTATTCTCAATCTGACTGACCAAAAATGTGTTATTACATTTTGCGTTTTTGTATTTTGCTTAATCTCGACGCAAATGTAACAACGCAAAATGTAATAATCCAAAAATCGTGTTATTACATTTTGCCTTGATCTCGATGCAAAATGTAATAATCCTAAAAGGTGTGTTGTTACATTTTACGTTATTACATTCTGCGTTGATATCGACGCAAAATGTAATTACGCAAAATGCAATAATCCCGGTTTATTACATTTCGCGATGTTATTACATATGGCGTTGTAACAATGGGTTTTTACACATCACAAACGAACGTAAGACTCTGTATCCAAAGTTTTTTCTGTAATTGCACCTTCCACCCGATTTTCACCAAGAGTTTGTTTTTGATACATCAGTTCCCAAGCAATTCAGTCGTGGAATATGCACCATAAAAACCTACATATTAACATGATAAAACAGTTTATTTCAATAGGAAACAGTAAATTTATCAGAGCTTTTGATTTGAAAACTTTCATGCTTATCATATCCCCTCTCATAAAACGCCAACTGCCCACTAGAATCCTCTTCCAATGAGATTTGGGGAAAGGGTTTGTCTATAGGCAAACAAGAATAACTGGTAATATTTGTAGATATATCTAATTATAGAACAATACGATTACTTATATAATGATTGTGGTCAAGGATCGTTCCCGCGGCAAGTTTATATACTACGAGTAGATGCTTGTTTCATCAGCATTGCATTAATGTGTTTGGATTAACAAAGACAAAAAAAAAGAGAGCCAAAGAAAGGAGACTGGAGAAAAAAGAGAAGAGGAAACCGAGAACCAAAAATAAGAAAGACTAAGAGTGCGGTGGGAGGAGGGTGATGGTATCCCTATTCATTCCACTCAACCTATATATTGGGATACCCTTTAATTCTGAAAAAGGATTCGTACTAATACAAAATAACTTGCATTTTATGCTACATCTACGCTCCTTTTTTATGCCCCCGTAATCGGAGATTCAGGGACATATAGTTCTTGGCTGTCTGTCTGACTGTTTGTTCATCAGTATGTCAGATTATCCGCGAAAACTTTAATCTTGGTTATTACTTCTGAATGGTTAGTGCTAAGGCTTTCATATTTCACACGACTGTGTATTTCTTGTGACAAGCCCTTTCATTGGGTACGAACATTTTTTTACCTCATTACCTTGACCTTGGAGTTTGATCTACTTTTGAAAAACTTTAACCTTAGCCATTACTTCTGGACGTTAGGTGCTAGGGCTTCCATATTTCACATCTGGATTTCTTTTGACAAGATTATTTTTTGGGGTACCAATATCCCAAATGTAAATTTAACCCAAATTTCAAGCATTTGCAAGTTGAATGTAATCCAGAATTACACTCAAATTTCCTATATATTTAGTTCTAAAAAGAACAAGATGTGTTCGTAAAATACTGATGCCCCTGTATGGCAACTTATAGCGAAGGTTAAACTTTCTCAAATGCAAATCAAATTTGTTGGTACCCAAAGTAAGGTCTTGTCCCGAGAAATACACCTGTGAAATATAAAAGTCCTAGCAGCAACCATTGAAAAGATATGGAAAAGGTTAAAGTTTTCAAAAGTAAGTCAAACATGAAGGTCAAATGATCAAAATTAATGGTGCCCAAGGAAAGGCTTCTCACAAGAAATATACATATGAAATATGAAAGCCCTAGCACCAACCCTTCAAAAGATATAGCCAAGGTTAAAGCTTTTCAAAAGTAGGTCAAACTCCAAGGTCAAGATCAAAGGGTCAAAGTTGTTGGTATCCAAAGGAAGGTCTTGTCACAAGGACTACATTTGTGAAGTATGAAAGCCCTAGCACCAACTGCTCAAAAGTAATGGCCAAGGTTAAAGTTTTCTAAAAGTAGGCCAAACTCCAAGTTCAATGGGCTATAATTGTTGGTATCTAAAGGAAGGTCTTGTCACAATTAATGCACATGTGAAGAATAACAGGTATATTCCTCGAGACAAGACCTTACTTTGGGTACCAACATATTTGATTTGCATTCGAGAAAGTTTAACCTTCGCTATAAGTTGCCATTCGGGGGCATCAGTGTTTCACAAACACATCTTGTTTCATTCTGTAAGGTGTGGGACCAAGACTTTTTTTAAATTAATTATTTTTTTTGCACCGGTCCCATCCTGGTGATAAATGTTGCCTGGTCTCTAACAATTATTTCCATTGGTTTATAGCATGACGTCACATATTAGGAGCGTGATTATTCAAGAATACGATACTTTATGTGATCAAGCAGCCACAGGTAGAAGACTGGACTCCGGACCATAGCTTGAGACGATGAAATAGGGAAACTTTAGAATGAATTAGAACGCACCTACCGTGGGGTAACTAAAAAATACATGTACATGCATCTTAAACAAGCCAGTTCAAAACTTATATCCCCATTTTAAGGACAGGTGTCCATTGAGATATTATCCAGGGACAATGTGTAACGGTATAAAGTTTGTGACCTAGATATTTGGTCCTTTCATATCAGAATCAAAGGGGCAAAGTTTTTATTTCAGTTTTCATTACAACAGACTGTATATTGAGGCCATATATAGATTTGTGACTTGACCTAAGAGCTTAGGAATTATGAGCTCTCAAAATCAATTGTCTGAGTACTTTCAGAGATATCTGAACAGTAGAGTGTATCATTTCCTAATATGACATTTATGAATTTGGTACTTGACCTTTTGACCTAAGAATCAACGGGGATCTGCTTTAGATTAAAAAATAAAAATCACCAGCTAAAGATCCATTCGTGAGAATCAAAAGGGGCCTTCTTCAAGTCATATTGATTCGTAATATTAAATTTCATTGCAAAAGTTTCAGTACTTTCAGAAATGTCACCCGGAAATAAAGTTTACCAGTAAGCAACATAAATGAATTTGTGATTGACGTTAAATTTTTTGACCTCAAACTGAATAAGGTCTTTCATAAGTTAGTTCTATTTCAAAATCTCAAAGAGAACTAACTATCATCTGGAAACAATTTTATAAAATATATGAATTTGTAACCTTGACCTGTAGACCTCAAAATCAATAGGGATCTCATTCAAATCATAGGGAGTTATATAAAATTTCAGAAACCTTAAGTACTTTAAGACTTAAGTATTACCATTTCATGAAATATATGAATTTGTGACTGACTTTTTTACCTCGGTATTACAAGAAGTCTTCATGACGTCATAGAGAGTTATTATATAAAATTTCATTGCAAAAGCTCGAGTATTTTCTGATTTATCATCTGGAAAGAAAAGAAATACAGACAGACAGAATGACAGAAGCATCGTCCATATACAAGGTTGGATAGGGTAGGGCTTGAAATGGACCTGCTCCATAAACTTTCACCTGATCAATCAACCAGAACATGTATATCAAACGCAACATTCAAAGCATGTCTGATAGTGTCAACCCAAGATGCATCATCTACACAAGTTTGGTCTGGACTCTAGACGTGTAGTTACATGGAAATCGATTTGTTTAACTAGTATTCCGATGATGGAGGATACCGTTTTATCATTTATCAACAGGAAAATAAAAATAGTTGTGTAAAAGTTAAGAACAGTGAAAATAAAAGAAATGTTACACACACAGGAAAATCAAATACTTTTCAAGTAGAGTACAAGATAGGAATTTTCCTATAATAAAGTGATTCAGAGGCCAGTCGTGTATCTGATACACTCAGCACAGGAAGTCAAGTGAATAACAGTAAGTGGTCACGTGATCCCTCTGTATAGAGGCAGGCTGAATTTGGCCGCCAATCCACACGCCATTGAAGTCAGGTAGTAATTATGTTTCGATTCAATTTTGCTTATTACTTCGTATATTTTTTTTTAAAATATCAGCGAAAACAAGATATATTGAAATAATAGTTTTTGATTGTAATTTTTAAAATGAATTCCATCTTTTGTGCATTCATTTTATTGATCTTGTAACATTTAAATTCAATATCATGTAATCACTGGGATAACCAAGGTGTGGTTGAAGGAAGAGGGGGACTTAATAGGTTTTTATCAGTTGTGTAACCTTTCTGTTCGTGCTAGGCATTTCTTGAATCCTTTTAAGGTTATTTTTTTCTTTCTGCATGATGTCTTTTGATTTAACTACTTATATTGAACTGCTATGTCGGCAAGAATACCTAAAATTTACAAATGTCCGTATGTTTTACTAGACTAGGCCTGGATTGATCATGGACCCCTGTACTAGTGCCCAGGACGTGATGCGATGTAACTTGTGCGAAACTGCTGTAGTAGAGATGCACTGTGATACATGCCTTTTCAATATGTGTAAGGCCTGTGTGGGAGAACACATGATATCTGATGAATTCCAAAAACATGAAATTGTTCGATTCACTCTTAGAAAATCCACCATTCTTTACCCTGAATGTTCATCTCATGTCAAAGAACGATGTGAAATGTACTGTAATCAATGTGACATTCCTGTGTGTGTCACCTGCCTTGCTTCAGATCAACATCTAGGTCATAAATTATTAAAAATTTTACAAGTTCTTGAGAAGAAAAAAGAAAAGATCAACAAAGAGCAAACGGAGTTAAATGACACAATTTACCCAACCTACCAAGACATTGCCTCTGATGTACAAAACAGAATGAGTCAGTTAGAAAAGGAATATGGAGATCTCTCAACAGCCATAACAAAACATGGAGAAAACTGTCACCAAGAAATTACCAAACATGTCAAGAAACTTAAAGCTGAAGTTGATGAGATGAAAAACTCACAGTTACAAACACTACAGAAACATCTGGATGAAATAAACGAGAACATTTCTGAAATCAAGGATGAAATCAATTCAAACGACGTTGCTGTAAATTCTAATGACATTTCAAAAGTATTCACTTATACATCAGATATAAATAGACACAGAAATCTTCCTGAAAAGATATTGATCTCTTTACCTAAATTTACTCCAGGAAGGATCCAAGGCGCCGAACTTTCTAAATTTTTCGGAACCTTATCATCAAGTTCCCTCACTTCAAAAAAGCAAGGCTACAGCATGAAGACAACACTGGACTCACCAGAAGCTGGATCCTCTCCTCCAGTCAAACAGCTGTTGGATGAACCAGAGATTGTCATCACCATAGACACTGAGTATACAAACATTCGGAATGTGGCCTGTCTGAGTGATGAAGAAATCTGGACAAGTGGACAATATAACAACACCATGAAACTCTACAGCATCAATCAGGGATCACTACTCAAGTCAATCACAACCAAGTCTGGGGACACACCAGCTAACATAGCAGTGACAAAAAGTGGAGATCTAATTTATACTGATTGGCGGTACAGAACTGTGAACATTGTGAAGAATAAGGAGATAGAAGAAATGATCAGATTAACGAAATGTAATCGTCATGTTGTCTGCAGCACATTCTCTGGAGATTTATTGGTTGTCATGGATAGTGATGACGTGCAACCATCAAAGATTGTCCGTTACTCTGGTTCCACAGAGAAACAAACCATCCAGTTTGATGATAAAGGTAAACCTCTATATTCGTCCGGTCCTTCTACGAGGCATATAACAGAGAGCAGGAACCTGGATATCTGTGTGTCTGACTGTGAAGCTGGAGCAGTAGTGGTGGTCAATCGGGCTGGGAAACTGAGATTCAGGTACACTGGGCATATTCCAGCTTCAAAGAATAAACCGTTCAGTCCACTAGGAATCACCACAGACAGTCAGAGTCACATTCTTACAGCTGATAAAAGCAATGACTGTGTCCACATCATAGACCAGGATGGACAGTTCCTCTGTTATATCAATTGTGGACTGAGATATCCATGGGGACTGTGTACAGACATAAATGACTATCTATATGTTTCTCAATATGACGAAGGACAAGTGAAGAAAATCAGATATCTGCAGTAAAAGCAGAACTAGTGATTAGTAGTGAACTCTCTGAAAAAAATACATGTACTTTAAAAATAAATGATAATACACATGTATCTATTTCTTTGAAAATTCGATTGCTATATGAGTGACCAGTGATGTTAAAAATATCAAACAAATGCATTTAAGTTCTAAAAGGAACACCCTTTGAGTGTCAAAATTTATGGTTACCTATAATGTGTAGTCAAGGGTTTAATAGAGAACCTTGGATTATACCGGTAGTAAGGATGAGCAGAAAAGATATATACCGGTATAAACCACATATATATTTAAATTTAAACACAATTTCCTGAAATTCAATTAAAAGTATACAAATAAAAACATCTGGACCCGTTTCTCGAAAAGGTCTACAACCAGGCGTAAACTTAGTCCGGACTAATCCCAAAAATTGGACTAACTTGCGTTTTACTGAAGGCGGAGATTTAGGTTGAGACTAAACTTTGGCTTAAATCTGCGCCTGCTCATGATTAGGCGTACATGTAACTTCTTTAAAATCTGTACACAAGTTTGAAAAGTGGCAAGTGTTTTGATAATAAAGAATTAAAAGAATAAGGATTATATAGGAATACGATAATATCTATTCATATACAGGATTGATTTGCGAAAAGTTGTGAATTATACAATTAAGTTGGAAATGTATCTTTAAAAATTCCAGTAATGATGTAGATGTTTTTTTTTCGTAAAAGAGGGATGGTTGAACTAGAGAAACGTTACTTATAATTTTAAATTGGGTAATGAAGAGGTATAAGAGATTTAAACAAGCAGGAACGTGTAGTATTGGGCGGGGGGTGGGTGGGGCTGCAACCATCTCTGCTTTTTCAAATAATAGTATTTCCTGTTAAATTTAATTGTATAATTTAGGCTGGCCCGCACTTATAGTACTTGTTTTTGCTTGTACTGTCGAAGTTTTCTGACACTTTTTGATTACTGAATTCCCAAAGTTAAAAATGATTTTCTTTATCTTTTTTAATTGAGAATAACAGTTTAAATCACAGTATTTTATTGTATTGACCAAAGAATCATTCACTGATACACCTTATTTATCAAACACATGTGTCATTTTAGGAATGGTAATGATAATAAAACATCATTTTGCAAAATTGTAGGCTCCATTCATTTACTAGATCTTGACCTTAAGAGTATATTGTTTAAGATGGTCAATATCAGAGGCACTGTAAGGTTTGTTTATAATTGAAAAGCTTGGATGCAACAGTTGGGGAATTCCTGAAGGAAAATGTTATATGGTGGAATGCAATACTGAACTTCTTTTACTTTTGTTGGCAAAGTTAAGCTTAAGGGAGAAACGGGTTGATTAAAAATTATTTTCTGTAACGCGTGGCGGCTTTAAGAGCCTGTGTTGGTCAACATCCATAATCTCAAAACATAACTTGTATGTAACAGTTGAAAAATCAAAGTATCATAGTATGGCCTTTTAACATTTTCCTTGTTTTAAGGATAAATAACACAAACTTTTTTTTTTCAGAAATCAGCAATACTTCTCATACATCAATATTCAAATAGGTTGGTTGGTTGATTGTTGTTTAACGTCCCTCTCAAGAATTTTTCACTCATATGGAGACGCCACCACTTGCCGGTGGAGGGCTACCAATTCTGACCTATACTCGGCACTTATGGCCATTGAGCAGTGAGGGATCTTTTTCGTGCCAGCACCTACTGCGACACGGGACCTCGCTTTATACGGTCTCATCCGAAGGACCGGTCTCCACGTCCTGCAGTGGAATTCAAACCCGCGACGTAAGGATCAACTCCTTACTTCGCGACTCTAGAGCAGACACTCTAACCACTGCGCCACGCGGGCGACTATTCAAATAGGTAGACTGAATGATATTTTCTGGAGAAAGGGGGAGAATTTTGTAAGATTTTGTTACAATGTCAAAAATATGTGCAAAATTTTGTATAGAATCACATAGAAAACAATACAAAGTTGCTTATCTAAGCACCAAAGACAACTTACAATTTCTTTATATTTTAGGGATTGATTATTTATGTCATTTCCATTCAAAATCAGTCAAAAATTATACATCAATCCATTCATCGAATTTTTGTTTGTGGTATGTACCCTTAAGCCCGTCTTTTCTGTTTTTAGGATAGAAAATTCCCTTTAAAGAGACATACCCCGCTTCAATGTGTTATTTATAGCTACTAGTAACCTGAAAGCCTTCAGCAATACTGTGTATCTTTCAAGGTATTCAAGAATACGACCCGGAATAGAACAAGTATATCTAATATGAGGAGACATGGAATTAAATGAATTTAACATCAAATATAGAAAGGTTCTTGGAGATTTCAGAAAGAATTACACCACACGGGAGTGTGCAGTGAAAGAAGATAATTTGCCGAAAGACAAAGGCATTTTGTTTTTTTATATCCTTCAAGTAGTTTGATATTAAAATAAATGTATGAGGGAAAAGGCCCGAAAAAAAATATAAGGAAGAGACTCGCTTTTCTTCGTCGACATTAATGGAAAACCGACTAGCGATTACAACCCATAGGTAAATAAGGCCGCTATACAATACTTGTTATGTTATGTTATACTTAAATCATTCAAAATAGTTCATTATTTCTATTGTTATCGGTTAGAAAGAAATTAAAATGTATTGTCTTTGGAAAATTAAAAAAAACCCAGATATTCAACTAAAGAGAATAAAATGCTTACAGTATATCTTTTAATTATGGACACTATTTACATGTATAAGTCAAATGTGAAGATAGCCAACGGTAATCAGGCTCAAAGTCCATTCAATCAATACAAATTGTGAGCAGAGTAGACCTCTGAAAATAGAAGATGGATCAGGTGCCATGAAGGAGTGAGCTTTCTCTGTCGACTGGTCACACCTACCGTCTGCTCTTTACCATGATCGGGTGAACGGAAAAATCAATATGAAAATAATGACCTATTAATTCGTATGAAAGACCCAATTTTTTTTTTAACCGTATGGTTACCTGAGGAGGGGAAGTGGTCTTGGTAGTATTGGTGTTATTTACCTGGAGAGCCCCCAATACTCAAGATGTCAAAATCCCTATACACGTTGAATTACACAGGAAGTCCGGCTTTTGGTAATCAGGGTCAACATTACGCGTTTTGTGCATAATTTTGAGTGAAATATTTACCACAAATTATGTACTTTAACATAATATTTGAAGACTTAACGTTTTTGTCGATATCATTTGAAGAAAAAAAATTAAAAAGAAATATCTTTCTTAAAAAATCGTAAAGTTAAAAAAAAAAATTACAGGTGAAAACTACAAGGCAATCATATCAAAATTTTAATCCGCAATAAACGCAATTATTATCAAATATTAAGTGTGAAAATTGAAACAAAAAGATTCCACTCATTGTGTGGGCATTTACCACGATGGGATTATTATTTACTTTACTGGCCTGCAGTGGTGTCCAAATATATTTGTTATTTCCGAGGATCGGTGTTTTTATGCCTTTTTTACAGATTTGGATATAAAAGGAATCTTTTGTAATTCGTGGCGTAAGATACAAGATACTTTTTTTTATGTTAGTGTAAATATCTTCTTATTTATCAAATTGCATTTTGTTGTAATTTTCAATGGTGGGGGAGGGGTTCGAATGCTTCCAATTACGGCGAATTGAGTTTCTGTGTACCCAAGGTTAACAGGGGCATTACGGACATTCTCAAAATCCAAGCACAGGTTGAATAAGGGGCTCGACCTAACGATAGATTGTAGTTGCCAACAAGGTCATTGCATTGACTATAAAATTTGCGAATTTTGACTTTGAACGAGACTCTTGATATCCTTGTATCATCAACTTATTTGTCAATAGTCTGCCTCGTTTTAGAAATTGATTATACGTAGAACAAGCTCTTGCAAATCGAATCAACTGGGAGACATAAATCGCATATATGCAGGTGATAAGGGTATTTTGCTAAATTGTACATAAAGAAAGGAAGTTGACAATAGAAAAGTTGAAATCATCACATTTATCAAAAAGTTTAGTTGTTAGTTTGCCATCAAAGTCTTTTCCTAGTAAAACATTTAAATATGAATATGTACAGGGTTCTCCACATTTGAAAATTTAACCATGGAGGAAGCTGCGCGAAGGCAAAATGTGACCGAAAACACGAATGCGTGTTAGACTTCCTAACCTTTGTTAATCAATGATTGGTTTCACAAAACTTAACCACTGCAACACAAAATGTTGAAATAACCAATATTTTTTAAAGCTAAAAAATATAAATAAAAATAAAAGAGATTATGTATCTCACTTTACAATTGTTTACCAAAATTGGCCAAAAACTCTAGGAACATTTTGAAGGAATTTCAAAAAAATATTTTGATAGAGTAACCATGGCAACATTATTCAAACTGATATATACAGAATTGGTGTTGCCTGTTGTATGAAACAGTTTATTTAAATATGACTTAAACTGATGAATGGGTAGTATTTTGAAAAAAAATTAACAGATATATAAACGAACAGACGAACGAACACCGACATCCTACCAGTTAATGTCCTGAGTTTTTTTTTTTTTTTGAACTACATGGTCTATGAAAACTTAACTGATGGCATGCATGGTAATTTAAGTAACTTAATATAACCAGGGGCGTCTATTTGATATAACTGTAATTTTGCTTTCTCTATTCTGTTTTTAAACGTTCTTTTTTTACATATTGCATTTTTGCCGAGTTTCCTTTATTGTTTACTTCTCCACGTGCCCAAGTGCTAAAAATAGCACCACGCGACGTTTAATAAAAACGGGAGGTAACTCTAAAACTAAGACGACGATTGGCACTTGTGTACATTTTATCAGAACGATAATAAAATTAATACTTAAAAACCAAGCATGAGAAATTGATTAAATACAAAGAATAGGAAATGCTGAAAGGGTTTTTTTTTCTGGACACAGAAACTTGAATCGGTTGCTTGTCGATTATCATGTTGTTACTGCTCGTTATGTCATCTTTTGTAAATTTGTTATCGTACAGTGAACACGTTGGAATTCCCCGAAATTACGTGTACAGGATAATTAACCACTTATCGTCGGCTGATTGACTCTCCATTGTCACGCTTTACAGCATAGTCGCCGATCAACTACTGTGTCTGTTAGCACAGTCCGCTTTCTCTCGAGGTATGCGAGGTGCATGGCAGTCGTAGTATAAACACAATTAACTACTCATGTCATTAAAAAGTAGGTGTCAAAACTGAAATGCAATAAAAATTTAATCATGGCGGCCGCCGATTTTAACCATGGCGCAGCTCGTTTAACCATGGCGCACATAAATTTAACCATGGCGGGCCGCCATGGTAAAACCCCTTGTGGAGAACCCTGATGTATCGTACTCTGTGGTGCTATATAATATAAACTACAACACTCGCACAAAGCAAAATCTTTTCACGTTGTAGGCAAATACTTAAAGTACAAATTACATTTTATATTCCAAAAGTTGACAAATCATAGACCTACGAATTACATGATTAGCAATGACATAACTTGCATGTATATTTTACACATGAAAACTTGTTTAGATAGTTCACATTATATCGATTAAAGTCAGTGTTTCTCATCTCTTATTGCCTTGTTTGCAAAAATTACCTATCGTTGGAGAGTATGTTGACCGACAAGTTTCATACCATTTGTTTTTCTATTGTCTTTATACTGATTTTAATAACGGAAAACTTCGTTTACCTGATCTACACAGAAAGCTCATGGCGTGTGTGACCGACCGACAGAGGATGCTTACTTTTCCGAGGCATCTGATCCAAACGCTTGGGTTTTTAGGGGTAGGTTGTTCACAATTCATATTGTTTACAGGATATATGAAATCGGTCACTGTTCATCATCATTACCTTTTTCATCGACATGGTTAAGAGATTGTGATAGATTTTATTTTATTTTTATTTATTTATTTATTTTTTTTATTTTTTATTTTATTTTTTTTATTTATTTATTTTTTTTTTTTTTACAAAATATGAAATTATCATTTTCAACCTATAAATTAAGATTAAAATATATATATTTAAGGAATATCAGTTTTAGAATTTTGATTCTATTTAAAACGACTGCAAAATGCCCTTTAGCATGAACTTATTTGTCACTCTCCGGCTTCGGTTCAAAAATTGATAGTTCTTAGAATATGCTCTTGCATGACAAATCAGTGAGTTTTTCTCAAATATAGAAGTTTTTTAAATTAATTCTGCTTGATAAGAATACAAAAATCGATCGGTTAATGAAAGCTTCTACACTACAAATAACTGCATGCCATGAGTCCGGGAGGACTCGAATAGTAGTTTCTCATAAAACATGCATTTCAAATGCAACATTTTGCAAGCGAAAATGCAAGCATGTTTATTAGCAAACATCCCTTGATGCATACTCTATTGAAGTTTGGATGGTATTATAGTTACATGTATGTGGGGTTGGATTTGCTTCTAAAATTTTACCTAGGATGTCATTAGAGGTATAACATACCGGTAATATTTATGTAGACTTTCTCAAGGCCAGCCAAGACCCGGAATACTATTTCAAGGTAGAAACAGATTTCAAAAGGAACTTGGAAGTTGTCGTTTGAAAAAATTCCATGTAATGTCAGTAATACAGGGTATTTCAACAAATATTTCCCAACTTTGGGTGTCTATATTTTTGCACAATGATAAAATATTTACAAAACAACAGCTGTATTTTATAGTATAATTTCCCGCAAATGTATTATAATAAAAAAAACACCATAAACTATAAACGTCATAAGTGTTTATTCTAAGGACTGATTACATCATCAAAAGTCAGTCTTTTAAAAGAACGATACAAGAGATAACTAAATTGATATTGTTAAACTGTTCTACATTCAATTCTAGTACTTTGATATTTCTGACGTAGACATTGATAAATTGTTACTAAAGAAATCTATTTTTTATTGCATCAGTCTATAAATGTAAAAAGAAAAAAGAAGCCACACTTTATCAAACTAACTTTTTAATCTATTTTTTTTAAATTCTAAACTCAATTACAAATAGATGTACCAGTGTATAAAGTAACAAAGGTCTCTTGGTCACCATGTGATAAAAATTTCAAAAATATCACGGATTTGTTGATTTGTTATATAGTTTTAGCAGATTAAAAAAGAAATGAAATCTTATTTAAATTTAAAGCCATAGTACACACAAACTAGGAAGTAAAAAAATTACCTGACAGATATACATGTAGATTGATAACACAGGTACGTGGATCATGTGATCGCTGTACATAGAGACAGGGTGTATTTTGCTGACAAGTTAATGATTAAGGTAATAATTATGGTCTGATTTATTTGATAAACTTTGCTAATAACTTGCAAATTTCATACATGACAAACTAGCAAAATATAGTTTGATAAGAATTAATGTCTTTAATGAATGTATAGCCTTTAAAAATCATGTGTTCAAGGTCATGGATATGATTAAAGACTATGGCTGATGGATAAAAATATTTTTAACCACCATAACTTGTAATCTACCCGGTAGTTATATGTGACAGAAATTTCTAGAATCTGTTAATCTCAGTTATTTTCCTTCACTTATTTGTTTCTATGTACAAATACATCTTCCCAATTCATTTGATTTGATTAATTAAACTGAGGTGTCGTAAGAATATTTAGAATTAAAAAATACCAATTTTTCCCTATATATACTATAGGCCTATTCTGGTCATGGACCCCCGTACCAGTGCCCAGGACGTGATGCGATGTGACCTGTGTGAGACTGCTGTGGTACAGATGCATTGTGATACATGTCTTGTCAACCTGTGTAAGGCCTGTGTTGGAGAACACATGTTATCTGATGAATCCAAAAAACATGAACTTGTCCCATTCAAGCTTCGAAAATCTACACTACTTTATCCTGGATGTCAATCTCATGTTCAAGAACGATGTGAAATGTACTGTAATCAATGTGATATTCAAGTGTGTGCCACCTGTCTCGCTTCTGATCAACATATTGGTCATAAATTATTAAAAGTCATAAAAGTTATTGATGAAAAAAAGGAAAACATCATTAAAGAACAAATTGAGCTAAATGAGACAATTTACCCCACCTACCAGGACATTGCCTCTGATGTACAAAACATAATGAGTCAGTTAGAAAAGGAATACGGAGACGTCTCAACAGCCATAACTAAACATGGAGAGGACTGGCACAGAGAAATTGACAAACATGTCATGAAACTTAAAGCTGAAGTTGATGAGATGAAAAACACACAGTTACAAACTCTACAGAAACATCTGAATGAAATAAACAATAGAATTTCTGAAATCAAGACTGAAATCAGTTCATTTGATGTTTTTTTAGATTCTAAAGACATTTCAAAAATATTCAATGTTACATCTAAAATAGACAGACACAGAAATCTACCAGAAAAAATTGTGCCCTCTTTACCTAAATTTACTCCAGAAAGAATTGAAGGAGAAGAACTTTGTAAAATATTTGGAGCATTAATAGCATCAAGTTCTTTAACATCAGATAAACATGGCTACAGCATGAAGACAACACAGAAATCACCAGAAGCTGGATCCTCTCCTCCAGTCAAACAACTGCTTGATGAACCAGAAACTGTCAGCACAATAGACACTGGGTATGAATACCTTATCAATGTGGCCTGTCTGAGTGATGAAGAAATCTGGACAAGTGGAAAAGGCAACACCATGAAACTCTACAGCATCAATCAGGGATCACTACTCAAGTCAATCACAACCAAGTCAGGGAAAACATCAAATGACATAGCAGGGACAAAAAGTGGAGATCTAGTTTACACTGATTACGGTAATAGAACTGTGAACATTTTGAAGAATGAGAAGATAGAGGAGGTGATCAGACTACAGAACTGGGAACCTCTTGGTGTCTGTAATACCTCCTCTGGTGACCTCCTGGTTATCATGTACAGTAATGATTACAAACAAACAAAAGTTGTCCGTTACTCTGGCTCCACAGAGAAACAAACCATTCAGTTTGATGATAAAGGTAAACCTCTTTATTCATCTGGTAATTGTTACAGATTTATAACTGAGAACAGGAACCTGGATATCTGTGCATCTGACAAAGGAGCTAAAGCAGTAGTGGTGGTCAATCAGGCCGGGAAACTGAGATTCAGGTACACTGGACATACTCCTGCTCCAAAAAACAAACCATTCGGTCCACGAGGAATCACCACAGACAGTCAGAGTCACATCCTGACAGCTGATGATTACAATGACTGTGTCCACATCATAGACCAGGATGGACAGTTCCTCTGTTACATAGACTGTGGACTGAGTGAACCTATGGGACTGTGTACAGATACAAATGACAATCTGTTTGCTGCTCAATATGAAAACAGAGAAGTGAAGAAAATCAAATATCTGCAGTGAAATCATAACCAAAATAAACCCGATAAAAATAATCTTAAAGAAACTGTATTAGTGCAATGTATGCACTTGTATAAATAATAAGATTTAAATAAAATTAGATTGCTTCATAAACGATTAGTGATGTTAATGATATCATACATGTACAAGTGTATCTGATGAAGTAATCACTAAAGAGTTTAAAGGAATACCCTGTTAGTGCTGAGTTGAACTTGCCTAATTTGTATAACCATGTTTAACATTTAAAAAGTCGGTTCAACATATGAGTGATCTACAATCTATATCTATCAATTTGGATACTTAGTTTTGTATTTAAAATACATTTAAAGTGGCAGATTAATTCTTTTTTTGAGCATATTTACATGTATTACCAGATCAAGCAAAGGGAAATAGGGATTTTGTTTTGCAACTTAATTCTGAGCTCAAATGTCTAAAGCCTAAGAGAACATTTCTCTCTCTGTCCCCCTCTCTATATACATGTAATGGTGAACTAAATATATAAATATCCCTTACTGCTCAATGATCAAAAAAGTGCTTAGTACAGGTGTATATATGCAGCCTTCAGCTGACCCATTTGAAGGACTTGCAACTTGACTTCAAAGTATCATGTGCAGTTGCTACCTAAAGTGTCTCTCATATTAAATGATTTTTAGAAATCTTGATATAACGTGATAACAAGTTAGATAGATTTGATTTTAAATTTTATATCTTTAGATTAATATCAGGGATGAAAGAAATCCTCTAGCGTAGGCCTGTAGACATAGAATTTCTCTGATGATCCATTCCAGTCTGTTGATCTCTTTCTGCAACAGGCATCCAAAAATGTCAAACGTGAATCATCGGACTATATCTGAGAATCGTGAGATCAAATATGTGATTAAAGCTGTAGGCATATTTTTTGATCTAAAAATCTTTAAAAATAGCCATCAATATGAAGCTGATATTTTAATCATACATGTATATAGTTTTTTTTTTTGTTTTGAGAAATATTTTCATCAGTTTAATAAAATGTTTATCCCGTTGACTGTGAGTGTGGTACGGTGCTTTTCCAAAATCTTGACAGATTCTGAAATAATTCAACAGAATGCAGTTTTTATGGAACATCTGATGAAAGATTTATCCCCCCTTACAACCGCTGGATAAGCATTTATAATTTTAAGAATGAAATATATGGAGATAAACAGTATTCAGGCTCAAAAGTTCATTAAACATTACAAAATAGGAGCAGAGCAATCACGGACCTCCAAAACATCAGAGGTGGGATCAGGTGCCATGGAGGAGTGAGCATCCCCTGCCAACCGGTCACACCCGCCGTGTGCTCCTTATTATGATCGGGAAATAACGGAAAAATCTGCCGACAATTCAGTGTGTAAATAATGGCCTAACAATTAGTATGAAAAACGTCAGTCATAATTTGACTCAATGATAAATTGTATTTGCTGACAAGGTCATTGTATCGACCATAAAACTTACGAAATGATGATTTTAAACGAGACTGCTGATATTCTTGTTTCATCAACTTGTTTGTCAATAATTTACCTCGTTTAGAAATTGTACGTACGTAGAGCATGCTCTTGCGCATCGAATCAACTGAGAGATATAAACCCCGTATGCAGGTGATGAAGGTATATTGCTGCATGAGTAAGGGAAGTTGACGATTGAGAAGATAAAGTCATCACGTTTATCATAAAGTTTGGTTGTTAGATTACCATTAACATCTTTTTCAAGTAAAATATCCAAATATGAAACAGATGTGTCAGACACTGTGGTATCTTTTATCTCAAACTCACCGGGATATATCCTATTGACATAAGAATGGAAATAGCCATTGTTAATTGACAATACCTCGTTGATATATCTAAACGTCGAGTTGAAGGCCACAGCAAGTGTTTTCTTCTTTTCATGTACAAGATTTTGGACAAATTCTACTTCATATGAATACAAAAAAAGGGTGCAATTGGTACTTATGGGAATTCCAATAGATTGTTGGAAGACCTGGTCTCCAAAAACCACATAGATATTGTCAATCAGAAACTCAAGCATCAACGTCAACTTCAGAGTACTTGTGTGTACAATCAGAATGTTTTTTAACAAAATAATTTTGCAAATGACCAATGACAAGGTAAGCAAATTTACGAGTTCCATTTTTATTGAAAAAGCAGCTGTCAATGGTATCAAAAAGCCTGGACTTTAATTTATCTATTATTAAGCTTCTATCTTTTATTAATCTAACTTTTCCCGCAAGAACAAAGTGGATAGGTACATGGATATTCAATGCTTATATTGCTCACTTTACTGCCAAACCTGGTGCAAACAGTTTTTGTAGAGCTTTTCCTATCCAGGACTTCAAACGACCGCAAATGTCTACAAATTGAACAATTAAATCATATCATATCCAGAGAAGATCAACATCATCCCCAGCTGTTGTATATAGTTTGTAAGTAAAGACACATTGGCTGATTTTTTTATGAAACAAATAAAGATAAACTTTAACATTAAAAATTTGAATTAATATTCTTTACAAGCAACGTTTCAGAACACAGATGGCTGCGCTGACAAATATTCATAATGCGCTAACATACATTATTCAATTTGTCAATACAGTCGTCCAAGATATGATTCATTGCGTGTCAAAAAATATTAATTCTATGCTTAAATGAACACTGTAATAAATTTGGACTGTTTAGACAACTTTTATTTGAATACTTTTTACATTGACTACTTAATAATGTGATAAGGATGTACATGTTATGCGTAGTGAATAATTAGAAAGCAGTCAACAACTCCATTTCTGTCATTCTTCAGAGATGTAAAACTTCCATCTACAATAATTAATTATATCTTGTTATCATACTATCCTTAAAAATATTTGGCAAATATATAGAGATGTATCGACACATATATATGGCACTCCTTCCCCATTTGATTGAGATTTCATTTAAAATTAATATAATAAAAATATAAAGATGAGCTGATGACAGACCTTTAAGAAGGTCAATGCTCATGTTTCCTCCATCTTCCTTATCCTTAAAGTCTTCTGTGTATTGAAGTCTGTCAGCTTGTCCCCTTCCAGCCTAAATGTCCCCCTAAAGAAAACAAGAGTCACAATCAAATGAAAAATAGAGCAGAGAAGAAAAGATGAAACTTGTGTGAAACCTTCATTACATAATCTAGATTCAAATTTGTTCACATCATAACCCCCTGGGATAGGGCGGGGTCACAAGGTGGTTCAAAGTTTTACAAAGGAATATACAAGAAATGTCTAAAAATCTCGAGAGAGAACAGCAAAGCCATGATTAGTCTTATTATTACAGAAGTTTCCTCAGGTAGTGTAGATTCAAGTTTGTTCCAATCATCACCTCTGGGGGTAGGACAGGGTCACAACAGGGGGTCAAAGTTTATCATAGGAGTATATAGGAAATATCTTTAAAAATCTTCTTCTCAAGAACAGCTTAGCCATTATTAGACATATTAATATAGAAGTATCCTCAGGTAGTGTAGATTCAAGTTTGTTCAAATCATGACCCCTGGGGGTAAGGCGGGGCCACAACACTGGGTCAAGGTTTACAAAGGAATATATAGGTGTAATGGTTAAGGGCCATTTGAGTAATACTCATTGAAGACTCCAAATAGTGGAATGATCTGAAAATCCTTGGAATGGACTAGCCTAAGGATATTTGAGACAAAGCTTTGGGAAAGTCAGGCATTCAGAAGGTAGCTGTAGAAGTTGGATGATGAATCAGCAATAAAGAAGTTAAGGTATTCCATCCTAATTGCAAAAGATTCAATGAAATTGAATACAAAACAGATGGTAGGTGTTGAATTTAACTCAGTATATTTAGACATAATTCCCATTTATTACTTTAACATGTAGCAGGCCTCTATGCGTCCTTTAAAATTTAGGCACCAACTGGCTCCTATTCGATTATTCCAAAAAATTAGTCGCCAGGTAAATTTTTCTTAAGCACCAATATAAAAACTTATATTAGTCAATATATAGAGACATATCCATTGATAACTTTTCAACTTCTTTTCTGCTCTTTATATTAAAAAAAACTTGAAAATTTTTATAGTTCAGCAATTTCATCAAGTCAATTTAAAATGATCGCCAATTTTAGTGACTTATAGAAAATTTTTATGCGCCAATCATAATATTTAAGCACCATGGCGAGTAAATTAGTCCCTAATTTATGACTTGAATTTTGGTAAGTATCCTAGGAAGATTTTTAAAGATATTTCCAATATACTCCTATGATAAACATTGACCCCCCTGTTGTGACCCTGCCCTACCCTCAGAGGTCATGACTGGAACAAACTTGAATCTACACTACCTGAGGAAACTTCTGTAATAATAAGACTAATCATGGCTTTGCCGTTCTCGAGAAGAAGATTTTTAAAGACATTTCTCATATATTCCTAATATGTAACCCCCCCCCCCCCCCCCGCTTGTGGCCCCGCCCTATCCCTGGGGTTATGATATGAACAAATTTGAATCTAGAGTATGTTATGAAGCTTTCACAAGCTTTTTTTTTCAAGTTTCATCTTTTCTTGCCCAGTGGTTCTTGAGAAGAAGATTTTTAAAAGATGCCATCAAATTTTCACGAATTCTTAATTATCTCCCCTTGGAAGAGGGTGCGGCACTTCCTGTGATCAAACTTGAATCTCCTTCACCCAAAGATGCATTGTGACAAGTTTGGATAAAATTGGTCCAGTGGTTTTTGAGAAGAAGTCGAACATTTTTAAAAATTTACAGACAACAGATGGACGCTCATGGACACTCTTTGATCAGAAAAGCTCACTTGAGCTTTCGGCTCAGGTGAGCTAAAAATTTTTAAGATACTAGCATCTTCCAAGTGTTCTACATATTATTTTTTAAAGAAATTTTAATATGAGAAAAATTTTAATTGTCATACTGAGTATGTCCCTCCTGCATGGTCAGTATGGACTTTCTGAGGGCCACACTGTCCTCCAGTTGTAGGGCACTGACCCCCGTCAGTGTCTTCCACTTCCCCGCCTCATCACTGACCTCCCATCGTGGATACCCAGAATCTGAGGAGTTATTTAAAGAATAAAATTCTTTCTTTATTTCTTAGTACTGGAATGTACATCACAGCTGTTGCAGAAAAAAATACATAACCCATATAAGCTGCGACTTTAATTCCCATACTAACAAACAAAGATAGATATTACATTGTTTATGAATTATTTATATCTGTAAAAACATTTTAAGTAAAATTAAATATGTTTAATATTGTATAAAGATGTGTATGTCACTGTATGCATAATTGATAGAGGAGTCATTGCTCAAGATATTTATGCAGGTGGCTTGCTTATATGCATTTACTGACTGATAAATGGCAATGGTTTTCCTAAGAAATAAAGGAAATAATACTTAGTGGATGTAAATATACTCATATATATATGATTATATTTACATCCACTGAATATTATTTCCTTTATTTCTCATAAAAACCATTTCCTCCCTGAATATGGACTGTATAGCAAACAAGTTTGATTTATAGATTCAACTTGAGAACAAAGGTGATGTTGCAGTTGTTTCGAATGGACCTCTATCCATCACCAAGTACTAGGATGCCAAACCTGTATATGTAATAACCACTGTCAGCCTATCAACTCCTGTGGCAACTGGCAAATGCAATCATCTTCAAGAGGAAATAGTCAAGCCCAAGGTGGTCCATGAGTACAATTTACACATGGGTGCAGTTGATAGACTAGATATGGTAGTGTCAGCTGCTTCTAAACTGGAGGTGAAAATGCTTAAATGGTGGAAAAAATTATTTTTCCACATTCTAACATTAGCTGTTGCAAATGGCTACACGCTGTACAGGGAAACAACTACTGATGCTACTCCTCTGACCCATCGTCACTTTTGACGGAAACTGGTACATGAGCTATTGAGTAGCTCAGGAGGTATATACCATATGAGTGGAATTTTTAGTGAGCTGCAAATTAAGCAATTTGTTGTAAAAAGTCAGTATTCAATTTTAGGGAGAAGTAATTTTACTGATTTTGTGATGCCTAGAAAGATATCAGTAACCTCAATATGGATTATGACTGATATTCAATTTTAGTGAAAAAGTTGAAACAAATTAGGTTTTTGGTTGCATATTCTCCAGGGTTTCATGCACATGTGTCAGGAAGGCCTGGGGGAAAGATTCTGGAGAGGCTTTCCGGGAGACATTTTATTGGGAAGATCTCCACCAGTGGAAAGCCAATATGCAGACAGTGTGTGGTCTGCTCAAAGGCTGCTGTGAATGAGCAACCTAAAGGAAGGAAAAGGCCAGGAAGACAAAGTGCATACCAGTGCCTTCAGTGCAAAGTGGCGTTGTGTATTGAGCCCTGTTTTGAGCTTTATCATACCAAACAGGACTACATTCTGGCATTTAAACGAATGCACCAAAATTATGAAGAGTGATTAATGAAACAGAGTTTTTCTATCCCTTTCAGGGCTACATATTCTATCTTTACACATGTAAAATATCAGGTTAAATTATCATGACAGTAGGATTACTCTTATTCATGCAAAACATAAAATTTGTGAGTTATATATTGTTAATAATTTTACAAATGTTGAGATTAAATATTTAATTCTGGTTGTAACATGCCATTTCATTATTATCAATTAATTACGAATTATCATATGAACTGTGTTGCCAACATCGCAATGATACAAAAACAATATCAATTGGCCCAACGTTTATGAATGGTATTTTGCCCAAGCCCACCAGGTTATGCTGCATAGATTTGGTAGCTGCTTAATTCATTTTTTAAACCAGAAGTCTCTGAAGAAACTGAAGTTCTTCTGGTGTGTATTTGGTATATTTTGGTAAAGTGTACTTATATACTGAGTCTTATTGAAAATGGAACAAAACTGTAAGAGGCATAGCGTTTTGAAAGAATTTCACAGAAATTTCTATTTTTAGTAACCATGGCAACTTATTTTGTCAAAATCAAAAACTGGTAAATAGCATTTTGTATCATAGTACAGTGTACTTGTGTACCAAATCTTCTTAAAATTGGACCAAAACTGTAGGAGGAGTAATGTTTTGAAAAATTGTTTACAGATGAAAGGATAAACAGGTTGACAAACAGACAGACGGATGGACGACGGACACCCTACTCTCGTATAAGCTCTTTTTGTCTCTGACAAGTAGAACTATAAATTCCTTCAGATCATCAATTCGGTTCATTTTTTCAATGCATTTTTTGCAACAGCAATTTACAATATATAGAAACTAAGTAGTTTTATGCTTTTAAATGGTGGAAATGAGTTGTGTTTTTGCTAAGTTGCGTTGCCATGACAACAAAATTGTGGCCAATTTTGAAAAAAAAAAAATTTTAAAAATGGATGAAGTATTTGTAAGTGCTGTTTTAAATTCCAACAAATTTGGTCAAGAGTTAGTAGAAATATTTATGGTTAAATTAAATCAACTGCTATTAGCCTGAATGTTCCCAAACAACCCAGTACTGAGACTACTTGACTGCAGTAAACATGTCAGCACACAAAGAGTTAATTATATTTTATATCTGATAAATATACATACAAAGTGAATGTATTTAATTATATTTTATATCTGATAAATATACATACAAAGTGAATGTATGTACATAAGATATTTAGCATTGGTCTGTATATTACATTAATGGAAGAGTCCCCTTCTAAAGAAATCTAATTCATAATGTCATTGATGGCTATAAAATCTGGTACATGTACTAATTAGTTCAGAGTAAATCGATTGATAAACAGGAATCAGTTTTTATGAGATATCATCCAGAGTAAATCGATTGATCAACAGGAATCGTTTTTATGAGATATAATGCAGAAATAATTCAGTGAATGTAAATATTATTGGTTGTATCTCTGATTGGCTGAAAAAGTTAGTTTATATTGTATAATCTGTGATGCCTACCAAACGTCACAATATGACTTTTGATAAAAATGTATCAATCAGTATGGCATTATTCTAAAAATACATTTTTAAACCAATTTTCAGGACATATTGTCTTATTTTTTCACTTAATGGTAAAATATTCAATCATTTTTAATAAATTTTAGCATACAAACTGCCCAAACCCAGTTTAAACTCCCAAAACCTGGGTAACTTTTTAAAGTCATTTCTTCTAAGTATAAGAATGTTTCAACATTGATATACTGTAAAAGTGATAAATCATTACCAGTTAGTCCCGTCAAGTCAATGAGTGGAGGTTCCCTACAAAGAAAAAATGGTATTACATAAGGTACGAGTATCTTTCATTACTGGAAATACACATGTATTAATATGAAAAAAAATTCTCCTAAAATCCCCCCTCCCAAACACAAACAAAATATATATGTCGACTGAATAGTAAAAATATGTGAATGTAAAAGGTGAAAATAACGACCAGTGATCCGTCTCAAAAAATCTATAAACAATACAAATCTGTGAAAAGGTCATAAAACACTTACACTTTTTCTATGTCAAATCTTTCTTGATCTCCGTATCTATATACATTCAATTCATGAGCAGCTGAAGGTGAGCGCCAGCACACCTGTTGTAAGGAGAGATTTAGAGAACAAAACTGTTATCCATGTAAGAGAATGCCAAGTCACCATTACTAAAGTGTCAGGTAAATGTATGGATAATATAAAAATTGTTGATAACATTTATAATTTATTGATCAATTTACAACACAATAAATAAAGTGTACTACACTTAATACAAAATAATAAATGATGAAGTTAATTTTTTCCCAGTTTTATACCCGTAAATCAGCTTTATTCTATCAAGTTTTTAACAAACAATATGAAATTCCAGAAAAGCTATTTCTTTGCATAGAGTACAAGTATTTTAAACATGGAAAAAATTGTGAGGGTAATTTCTGCAATTTATCTACCTAACCTTCAATTTAAGGTTTTTTTGCAAAAAAATAGGTTCATCCTGCACTAATACAATAAACAGGATTATGATTTTAAAGAAAAAATTTGAATATTTCTCCATCTTTCCAATCATGACAAGGAACACATGGCAGATGTGACTGGTTGACAGGGGATGCTTACTCCTCCATGGCACCTGATTCCACTTCTTGTGTTTTTAGAGATTTGTCTTTGCACTGCTCCAAATCTGTATTGTTTCAATGGACTTTCAAGCTTGATTACTGTTCGTTATCTTTATAATTCATTTTGAGTGTCACACTTGCAAATCTTCTCTGATCGCATTTCACAGTGGTTTGATTTCCCATACCTTGACTAGTCGTCCTCCATCTTTGTTGATGATGGCAACCCCTATTTCATCTGGACCACCATCTTGGTTGTTATAATTCCAATGTCTGCCTACAAAGGTGTTTTGAATAATAAAATTACCACTGATCAATATTCAAAACCAGTGTAATGATTTTGAATTTTTTAAAATTGCTGAGAAACCCCAATTCAAAAACATATACAGACAAGTGCATCAGAATAAACCTTGTAATATAGAATTTGATGGGTTATTTTGTAAAATTTAATAATCAGTTTTAAGTGCTTAGCCACAAAACATTGAAAAATGCCCAAGAGTTTACCTCGATGGACCAGTGTTCCTACGGGTATGGCTGCATGACCCGAGTCCGGAGAGGATTTGTAGAACAGTAGTTTTTCCTGGTCAAAGGTCCAGCGGTAATATTCCTTATCTCCAGTGTCCAAAACAACAAGTACATACTTTGTCTCTGAAGGTAACAAGCCAGGAAATGATTATAAAAATTTCATCAAAATTTGATTTAGTCAACCGCAGAAAATTACATTAATACACCTCATTCAGATAATGTACATCAAATGCAACTTCAGACGCATGTGGATATCCCATGATTATATCATCTGTATTTAAGTTTGGGTAGGTATATATGATTACTTGAGAATGGATTTTCCTCTACAACTTAATTTATTCAGGATGCCAATAAGGATCTAGCACCACTCTTGGCCCACCTGGGATTAGAGCTCTGGGGCCATGTGACATGAATTAACCAACTTGGAAAATGGAATTTTATTTGTTATTACCACTCAAAGTTTATTTTGGTGTAAAGATGCATGAGGCTTGATTGCTTAAACAAAAATTTCAATCACGTACAATTTGCTATTTAGCTGATTGTTTTATATGTAGGAATAAAGATTTTTAATGATACAATAAATTAATTATTTTATTTTAACAATATTTTATTCACAGAAGTGAGTTGGATTAAGCCCTCTCCCTATAAGAGCCTCAATTTATGACATATATGTGGCCCCACCCTAGAGCTGCAACCAAGGTGACATAATTTTTAGATTTTGGGTAGAGATCTAACTGGTTTTCTCAATTTTGGAAAAGCGCTGGCTAAAAGTCATCATAACCATATATGCAAATATATATATATATTATAACCATAATTATTAAATGTAATATATATATATATATATATATATATATATATATATATAGGATATACTTGTGTCATGTTCCCCTTTCTGTCCTTTGATGTGTTGTAGGATAGTTCCTGTTGGCTGAGACTCTGTACCAGAAACCTTCACTCGTGTTCCGATGGGTGGGGGCTTTTTAAAATGTTCTGTGATGAACCATTCAACTCTATTGATCTCTTTCTGCAATTGACATCCACAAACATATAAGCCTAGCTAGGCAACAGTAATGCTTTTTTCTATTTAGCGTCTTTGTGTGTATATAGAAAAAATCTAAATAAGAACCCATTCAAGTCATGGACACACTCTTAGATTTAACATTCTTCAAGGGCAAAGTGATTACACTGATTTAACATACAAATCACAAAAAAATACCACAGTAGAGTAAGACAATAACAACTCACAGTATGCTGTTTTTTCCTGATGAGGTCCTTTTTTATTGCCTGCCAGGATTTAGCAGGAGTCTGTGGTTCTTTGGGTTCCATGATGGCTGACATCACTCTTCCTGTTAATGTCTGGGTATAAAAAATTATGTATCCATCATCATGACTGGTGGTATTTCAATTAATCACATTTAGTTTTTAAATCTGTTAGAAATATTCCATAAAATTATTTTTTTCCAAAGCTTTTCTTTACTAATTCTTTACTAAATGTCTCTCCACATGTATGTATAAAATAAATACATCATTATATATATAACCTGTATTAAAAACTAACTTTACCTCTGTTTCCATGGAATCAGAAAGAAAATCTACATCCTTAACAACTGTCACCGTGTCAAACCAGCTTGAACTCTGTTAAATATAAATAATGGTTACTGTAAAATTGTAAAAGAAATATTTTCATTTTCAGCTGGAATGAAAGGAATTTTATGATTTTGTAGCACTAATATTGAATGAATTGATGTACAGATACCCTTTACTTTCATAACTTACAGTATCTAACTTTTCTCCAATAGGAACAAAGTAGATGGGAACATGAATATTCAAAGCAGCCATCACTTCCAAAACTGATCCAAACAGGCTGTCGGTCTACAAGTGAGACACATGTAAATTATTTCATCACATCATATAACTGTTTTCCACAAAAGAAAAGTCAGAGTAGTTTTCAATGTTGTCACTTTACATTCTACAAACAAAGCTATCACCACATTTTATATAACGCCAACCTTACCTTAGAACATGGCTGTTTAGTTTCTTCACTCTCTGGGGAGCAGTCATTGAACAAACCATCTGATATAATCACTATTTTGGGATACAGTTTGTGATGATGACCAATTTCTGTTGGCTTTACTGTATACCAATGAATAATGAAATAAAAGACAAACTGACAGTATACAGCAAAATAGCTAAAAACAATATATATACATGTACAACTGAACACTGATCTCAATAATGGCAGGGCTGTCAAAGTTTTAAAAAATCTTAATGTTCAAGGTATTGAAGTTAACACTTGAATTAATAAAATGTCGCTTTCACATAACCTAGGAATCTGACATATATATCCAACATATTTCTAGTAATTGACATATGCCAGGAATTTGACATATCCCATGTATTTGACATATCCCAGGCATTTAACATATTATGTCAGGAATTTGACTTATTGCAGATAATTGACATATCCCAGGAATTTGACATATCCCAAGTATTTGACATATCCCAGGAATTTGACATATCCCAGGTATTTGACATATCCCAGGTATTTAACATATGCCAGGAATTTGACTTATTGCAGGTAATTGACATATCCCAGGTATTTGACATATGCCAGGAATTTGACTTATTGCAGGTAATTGACATATCCCAGGTATTTGACATACGCCAGACTTACTGTAGGTAATTGACATATCCTAGGTATTCAAAATATGTCTGGAATCTGAGATATGCCAGCTATTGGACATATGACAGATATTTGACATATGTGAGGAATTTGACATATGCCAGGAATTTGGCATACTCCAGGTGGTTGACATATGCCAGGATTTGACATATCCCAGTAATTTGACATTAGCCAGGTATTTGACAAATGCCAGGTATTCAAATATCCATGTTTAAGATACCAAAGTTCAATTGTTAAGTGTTCAATTCTAACTTGCTCAGTTTTACCTCTCAGCTGCAGGAGCTTAAGTGCTGTCAGAAGGCCCTGAATTACTGGGGAGCTGGTCATCTGACCGTAGGGCTGTACGTGTAAATGTTCTACAGAAAAAAGAAATAGGATTCAATTATCAAACTTAGAGCAGAGAGTATTTTGTAAGGGACAATTTGTTTTACTTACTTTTTGATTATTTCACTTGACAGAGCAAGTGATGCAGGGTTGAATATCATATAAATGAATCTTAATTACTACAAGTTCAACACCACTAGCCCATAAAACAAAGTAAAGTAAAACTCGGTTGGAGCAAAAGCATGGGGACCTGGGAATTAACTTCACTATGTTCTTATTTGTGATATTCATATAACAAATTTGCTTAAGTACATGTATATGTGGCTAAATTATCAATATACACATTTTCCTTTAAGTATGACTACTGAATAATTGTTTGTACTAAAAGAGTTACACTGTAAATGTAACTACCCAGAATTTTCTTTACTGTATCTTTGTCCTGTGTTAGATCTTGTTCCACTTTGGTCTTATCACCGATGGTAACCACAGCAATTTGACCCAAACAACCTGTAAATTATTGAAATATTAAGAACATTATCTTCAAAGTGACAAACTATGTTCTGACTAGCACTTTCTTTACAACAAATTGTTTTGTCTTGACTTACTTTGTACAATTCTCTCTGCCTCTTTCCTCTGTTGTTTTATGGGGTTTCCTGCCATGCTGTGAGACAGATCCAAACACAACACAGTACAAAACTGGTCAGAAATCTCTCCCTTATCTAGCTTCTCTGTAGCTTCAAGTAAAACAATAGGAATACAATGTACTCTATATAACTGTTCTCATGATCACAGAGGAGCTGAAGGGTGTACAGTACGCAAATTTATGTGTATTATTCATACTTTTTATCACCATACTCTTTGCAAGTCCACACTATCTTTAAATCTCTACTGGTCAAAGACCAGAAAAGCTTATGCCATATAGTAAGGTGTCTGTCAACTGTCTGTCAGCAAACAATATTTAAATTTTGCTACTCCTCCTAGGGTTTTAGTCTGCTAATTTGAAATTCATTAAAACTTAGTACACAATAAGAGAGTTTGGGTATGATTTCAATAGGACTTTGTACACAAATAGATTACATTAAGATAGCATATATTTCTGTTTACTGGGTTCTGATTTAGATACACAGTGTTGCAATATTTACTGACAAGAGGCCCACGGGCCTTATAGGTCACCTGAGTATCATGTAACAACTTTCCAACCATTGAACTTGGTTCGTATTTTAAACCAGGGGTCATGAAATTCACAATTTTGGAAGAGGCACACTTCCTCATCATAACTATGTACTTAGATCATTGGCATAATACCCAGGAGGAGAGGAGAAGATTTTCAAAGCATTAATACATTTTTAGTATATAATCATTAGAGCTCCCCCCCCCCCTTCACAGTACCCCTGACCCAGGGACCATGAAATTCATAATTTTGGAAGAGGCACTCTTCCTCATCATAACTATCTACATAGTTCATTGGTTTAATACCTATGAGTAGAGGAGGAGATTTTTATAGAATTACATGTAATGCATTTTCACTATATAATCATTAGAGCCCCGCCCTAACACCAGAACCCTTGACCCAGGGGCCATGAAATTCCCAATTTTGGAAAACACACTTCCTCATCATGATTATGTACTTAGATCATTGGCATAATACCCAGGAGCAGAGGATAAGATTTTCAAAGAATTAATGCATTTTCACTATATAATCAATAGAGCCCCACCGTAACACCAGAACCCCTGACCCAGGGGCCATGAAATTCACAATTTTGGAAGAGGCACCCTTCCTCATTATAACCATCTACATAGTTCATCGGCATAATACCCAGGAGGAGAGGAGAAGGTTTTTAAAGAAATAATGCATTTTCATTATATATTCAACAGAGCCCCGCCCCAGCATCAGAACACCTAACCCGGGGGCCATGAATTTCACGATTTTGGTAGAGGACTCAATGCTTATTACAATCATGCCAACAGTTTGACTGCTTGATGTCCAGGAGTAAAGAAGAAGATTTTTAAAGATTGCATTAATTTTAGTGGATTTTGCCCCACTTCTCAGGCCCCAGGGGGGCAGGGGCTATGAATTTCATAATTTTTGTTCCCCTTCACCCATAGATGCTATATTCCAAAATTGGTTGAAATTGGTTGAGCGGTTTCAGAGAAGAAGCTGAAAATGTTCAAATGTTAATGCACGACGCACAACAAAGGACAAAAACAGATACATGTAGCAATAGGTCACCTGAGTAAACTCAGGTGACCTAAAAACAGGATAATGTTGAAAATTCTTTCAAAATGTTAATTTCTACCCCTCTGTTTTTGTTCTGAGTTTAAAAAAACCTGGTGTAAACTATACCAAATATCATTCCATGGGAATAAACTTTCAAGCCCAGGTGCTGCATTTCTCTTTCTCTTTTATGATTAAACTAGAGCTACAGTCTCATCAGAGACTTCTGGTCTCATGTTCATTTGTAATCTGATTTTAATTTCCATTCATTCCTTTGTATACAGCTACTGTCAGGGAATGCCAAAGGAGACATTTTTATAAGCTGCTCTGGATATAGACTAATTATATACCTTGTGTAGCCATCTCCATGGAGTGTTGCACAACCTTGACCCCATCCTCTCCCCAGATTTTCATGAGTTTTTCATGGAGCCCTACAACAGTAATCGTCTTCAAATTAATTTCCTGCATAAAGGATGCTTGACTTGTCTGTTTCAATGTCAGATCGAATCACACCACCAAAATTGAATTTGTTATAAGAATTAACAATCATACATGTATACTTTATTTACCAGCTCCTTTGGTGTCAGTATATCCTTCATCTTCCTCAGATTTCTCCTCATCTCTGAAACAAAAAAGATCATTTTGGTTAAAATTCAAAACTTTTCATTCTTTTTTTTTCGAAAGGCATTCACAATATCACTTATATTGTATATAGTGAAGCAAAATTTCTTTCCCAACAGATTTGATTTACTTGTAACTCAATCCTTGTATAGCACTGAAGAAAGCTAAAAAATCTACAGGTGGTCCCCTCTGTCTGACCTTGACTTCAGGAAGGACTTGTGGAGCCTTGGACTGTACAAAACTCACCAACCGACTTATTCTCTCTGCACTCGAGAGGGCTTCATCAGTTTGATGCTGGACTGATTCCTTAGAGTGAAAATTTTAAGAAATACATTGAATCCTTTCATGGCAGAAGTACATTGTCACTATCATTGCCTTACATTTTTACTCTCAATGTAATGTATTTGTGTTTGCCCTATACAATATAAGTTTGACTGTACCTCTGATGGGTGGCGACCACTAGATGGCGCTTGTTAAGGAGAGATGCCTGAGTCCTGTAGTTTAGTAACAACATTTTCATATAACCTCTGTTGTAACCCTGGCAACAGTTCCGCTATGGCATCACGTAAAACCTGGACTTGTCTCTGACGGAACTGATCCAGCTCCTCGGTCACGCACTGCTGAACCTGAGCTCCAATCTGTCTCGTGAGCTGTTCCTGAGTCATTATCTCCCTTGCTTGGCCTGCTCGCAGACTGGTTAATTCATGGGATAAAAATGATTTCAGCTCAGAAATCTCCTTACCCATTCCACTTGATACTGATAGATATAAGAAATGGTTTTTGTTGTCATAGTTTATACTAATTATTATTCAATGTCAAGATTCTAACATTATTCATGTAATAATAACACTGTTTTATCCTACCTTTCTCACTTGATGTCTTATCCTCCCTGTAAAAAAAAAATCATTGATAAAATTAGTATTGGTACTCCAAATAATCAATATTTTTATAAATTCTTAGAAATTTAATGCATCAGCAAATTTTTATGTAAAGGGCATCATAATAAAGTGACAACCTTCTGTATAAAGTGGTGACCTCTAGGACCTCTTTGTATGATATAGCTGCTTCTTCACCTAAGACAGTCACAGAAAATCGGACATCCTCAACCAACTCTTGTACTTTCTCTGTAACAAGTAAACTCTCCAGAAACTTCTGCATTCTCTGAAGGGAATCAGAAGAGGTGGCTTTCTCTAGCTCCTCCTGACTTGTAAATAGCACCGTGAGTTGGAAACACCCCAGGGATATATCTGCCAAATGGCCCCTCATCTCCTGTAAGAGGAATGTCACCAGTTTCTGACATTTGTCACAGTCCTTGTTCACCAGGTCCTCTAGGACTGTCCTCTCCAGAGCTTGCAGGTTCTCTGTCAGTGAGGAGGTTAACTGTGCTTTTATCCTGGTCCTCAGTACCTCCTCAGTTTCCTCAATTCCTCTCCACCTCAGTGTCACCACAGAGGCACCAGTGTGAGTGTCAACTTCCAAAGAAAAAAAACATCAGCATAATACACACATTACCTACTGTACATCTTTGTGCTACATACATGTCAATTATTAATATAGGAGGAAAAATCTTACTTATAAGTTCTCACTGACAAAAATTTATTGAAGGAAGACAAAAATATCTTTTACTTAACAATATTTATTGTTATCTTTTTAAACATGCACCACATATTTTTTTTAAAAAGACATATTCTTCATTAGTGTAAGCATTTAAAATGAATAAACACATAATTATCCTAATGCTGGTAAACTTTTAACCTTCCAGTGTTCCTTCTTTCTTCAGCTTCTCCATAAGTCCATCATTAACATGCAGCTCTACAACAACACAACATTGTCCTATCTGTATGTACTTCCCCTTCTCATGGACAAAGAAGTGAAGAGTTGTGGCCCCTGATGGAGAACCCCCTGTGACACTGATGGATGGGGAGAGGGGGACAGTGTCTGTTGTAGGACTTGGGGTCTCGGGGTCAGACAGCTGCTGCTCTCTCTCAGTGACACCTAAATAAAGGACAAGACAAAAAGGATAAACATTAGGGAATTATAAAAAACAATATTTCACATTTATTACTTAATTGATAGCAATTTAAAGAATTGAGAAGTTTTTTATGCAAATAGACAAATAAATAGCCATGTAACATTTCCTAACATCGGTGATATATCTGGGTACATGTATACATGTATGTGATGATGCATAACTAATTAATCAAAGAGGAATGGTGTTACAGTATACAGAGACAGACAATACTTTAATTCCTTTTTATTTTATCTGAACATTGATATAACAAATAATTATATTGTTTTGAGATTCAAAGCTTTATCAATTTACAGAGGTAATTAGTGTTTCAGTAAATTTTTAAAAATTTTATGGTATATTTTTTCCAAAAGTTTAAAATTCATTCAGGAAAAAACAACAGGTCAGGTTATTTTCAGAAGCACTTAAACTTCAAATTTTTACTCAACAGTGAAAATACAGATGTAGGTATTACTGGAAGAAGGAGTGACATTGAGGTGGACGGCTGTTTCATGTGCACATGAGATGTCGGAGTCCAAGGCCTCAATCTGCAAATTCATGCTGCTAGACACCTGACCTGGCTGATTCTCCCCAGACACCACTTAAACAGAAATATATAGGCTATGTTCTCATCAAGTATCTCATAATCAATCATATTTACAAATACGGTAGAATTATCAATGTGCATGGGGGACCAATGTTTGAAGATTTCATAAAATAATTTTGTTGAAATCTTGGTAGAATATTTCCTTCTGGAACACTTCCTGTCAACTCAGCTATAATACATGTACTTCCTTCTGGAATATTTCCTATCAACTTTAACTTACCTAACACCTCAGATTTCTTCTCATATATTCCCTGTCTTCTCTGACACTTGAAATACAGGACTTCCTCCTGGTATATTACCTGTCACCTCTAACTCACCTGACACCTCAAGTACAGGACTTCCTCCTGGTATATTACCTGTCACCTCTAACTCACCAGACACCTCAGGTACAGGACTTCTTCTGGTATATTACCTGTCACCTCTTACTCACCTGACACCTCAGGTACAGGACTTCCTTCTTGTATATTATCTGTCACCTCTAATTCACCTGACATCTCAGGTACAGGACTTCCTTCTGGTATATTACCTGTCACCTCTAACTCACCTGACACCTCAGGTACAGGACTTCCTTCTGAGATATTTCCTGTGACTGTTCTTTGGCCTGAGGTGATGGACCCTCCATGAGCTTTAATTTGAACATTCCTAGAATTGAAACAATTACAAACACTTTAAAATCCTGAACAACTGATATCAAGATACATGTAGTTTAATGTTTTACCTTACAAAAATGTTAATAGCAAAGTTTAAAACTGTTTTGTATTGAAACTGCAAAATTGATTCATGAATGAATTTCTGCAGGATTATCAACACTGGCCTGTATAATGAATCAGTGATTTAAGGGGATGAAGGACACATGGTCACATGACTCTATTAAACTACGTCATACTCTCTGTTTATATAAGTTCAAAACGTGTAAAGCATTAGTTCTTGTACATTTCTTTGACAATTTTTTTTCTTTAATTACCATCTTATATTTAAAAAAAATAAAAAGTTTTAACATTCTTGTAAGCATTAAAAAATTCTGAAAAAGATTGATCCACTCCTCTGTTTCCCTAAACTGCACGTCCAGCAAGTGGGTGACGTCAAACAAGATCTGTTAGTACAGCAAGATCATACTCGGTGAATGCAGGCACGGTATTAATATGTAAAAACAGGTCATAATCAGTATATGATAAAATATTTTGAGAATAGGGGAACACAAAAATTATTTTTGCATGGCTGATGACAGAAATCTTATGTAGGTATATCTTATTTCACTTATTTAGCTTACTTATGACGTCATAGTTTTTCACCTACTTGAGAAATGTAAACATGACATGATTTTGTCGTGCTTATGTCCCCTTTCACGATGTCCTGTGCAATATTGAGGTCAGCTTCACCATTCGAAATTTTTATAGTTAAATTAATATGAAGGACTTAATTGCATTTCAATGTAAATTTAAAAATATTGAAAGATAGAATTTTTTTGTAAATTAAGTTTTTTGTGCCTTTGGTGTATCCTTAAGAGGCTATAATACATGTATATATAAGACTCACCTATGGTTACTCATGGTATTGTTTCATTCATTTCGACTGAAGAATATCAAGATATCCAATATCTAACAAAGGCAGAATATTCATTGCTTTCCTGAAAAAATTTACTTTTAACGTTACATAAGAAACATAAGAAATAAATGATTGGGATATCATTATGATGTAAATCCCCCCCCCCCCCCTCAAATACCAGCACTCTGTACTTTCCCACGTCTAGTAACACTATGCAGATATCTCTGCAGCAAAATTAATATTTACCTTCCTTTAATAGTATTTAAGAAGATCCTTTACTGCTTGTATGCTGAACACTCCAGTGCATTCTGGAGTACATACACTGTACCAATATGCAGCTATTTATCCAGTCTTCTGAAATTTATAATGACTGTACCTGTCAATTTACTAATTCAAAAGACGAAATATCATCCAGTAGCTCACAATTTGGCTAGATTATATACATGTATACATAACTTTTCAACTTCCTTAAAAATAAAATATTACAAACTTAAGGCTCAAAACAGATTAGACCTACCGATTGGTTTAACAGTTTAGTTTTAAAATGTTACCTTCTTACAGCATATTTGGTTGTGTGTAAAATTGTACATCAATTAGTTAATTAATGATTAATCAAATGAAATACCGCTACTATACAAATCAATAACGAACACACAGGAAAATCACCTTTCTTTGGTTTAAATAATTATCCTCCCAAAATGCCTACTGTTTATGACATCTAGCGTGAAAGGAAACCGAAAGTAGACTTGAAATATTTAGTAAAAACAAACAAGATAGACATTGCAATTCATAATTTTTGCTAACATTAAAAATATTTTTGATTACTTTCCCTCTTTTTTCTAGGATAATGAATTTCTATCAAATAATTCGGTGACATATTTAAAAATAAAAGTCTACTTTCGTTTTACATATTGACACCATAGTCTTTTGGAAATCCAAACGTCTATTGATAGAAGCACGAAAAGTTCCAAGACTAGAGGTTTGGAACTTTGAAGAAAATTTTGAGATTTGGGTAAGAGTAAAAACATTCATTTCTGATCAAAACGCTGCATTTTGACTAGATGCTAACAGTAGCAGATTAGTACAGTTGATATTTTGAGTTTCAAATTATGTTGTTGTTGAAACTGTACCAAAAGTGACATTTTTAGTGCTCTTCCTACATTGTTTATCTATCAAGGAACATTCTATTATCTTCCTGCTAAAAGTATAATTTTTACCCCTAAAAAATTATCACAAACAGCTAGCGCTAGTGTAAGTGGGAAAACTAATTTCTTACAGAAACGAATTGAATGAATTCAGGATTTTGGATGAAAAAAATTACTATAAATCATTGCTTAATTTTTTACAGCAGTGTATGTTAAAGCTATAAGATGGCTGGTCAGTCTGGAGGTAACCCTATCAGGCCAGAGGCCCTGGAGGGGATAGACACTAATGCTCTGTTTGGGAACAATCCAACGGACATCTTTGGACAAGGTGGAGAAAATGGCCTGGCAGCAATGCTTGAGAGGGGTGGAGGTAAGGTGAAGGGGTCAGAAGTCTGGTAGCATCTTAGAGAGGAGTGGAATTAGTAAAATAAAGGGGATCAAAAGTATGATCATGGCATGTCGAGAGGGAAGGGGTGTGTGTGTGTGTGTGGGGGGGGGGGGTTGATTTTCAAAAGTCTGTAGCAATCCTAGAGAGGGGAGAAGATAATTAAGGTACAGGGGTCAAAAGTCTGGCAGCAATTTTAGAGAGGGGGAGTTCAGGATATGGGGGTAAGATGCCTGACAATATAGTTCAAAAGAATCAATTAAGGATTCAGGAGGAGGCATAAAACAGGGTCAAAATTCTGGTAGCAGTTCTATAGAGAAAAGAGGATGAAGTAAAATAGACAGGCTCAGAAGTCTGGGGTACAATACTACAGAGGGTCAGAGATGAGACAGAGGGGGTCAAAAGTCTGGCAGCAATTGTAGGGAAAGAAGGAAGTAAGATACAGGGGGTCAGAAGTCTGGCAACAATTCTAGAGAGGGAAGGTGTTGGTAAGATAGAAAGGGTAAAAAAATTTATAAATTATAGTATATTTGACAATGAAGTAGATGATTGTGACCTTGGAGGCAAAACATCAAGAGTAGATACATGTACTAATTAGTAACATTTGTTATCTCAGAGCACATGCTATACATTAACTTCCTTGAAAAGCTTAGGAACTGTAAGATCAGGACTTATTAATTTTCATTTTCTGTACTTACATGTATGTAGGTCAGACTAATTCTTGTGAATGAAATTTTCAGATTTGTTTTTATTATACATGTATATATATAGATACTAAGTGCATTGGATTGTAAACTTTCTTATTCCTGAATTACATGGATCATTTTATTTATTAATTCTAAAGGACAAGATCTACTTGATTTACTGTAGTTGGAGAGGAAGGACTGGGAAATCTACAGGGTCTTTTGAATCAAGGTCGATCTGGAGGTCAAGGTCAGGGTCAAGGTAACCAGATGTTTAACCCTTCCATGGCTGGAGGTTTTGGTGGGAATTTGCCTGGTATGATGGGAGGAGGACAAAACATAGATCCTGCCATGTTACAAGGTTTGTCTCTGTCACCAAACTGAATATCAGCAGTCAAACAAGGATAACCACTGGATAGCCAAAATCACACCTCTGTATCTGTTATTTGTTTTACTTCAAGTCTATTTATAGTCACTATGGTGACTTTGATTTGACATTTTTCAGGGCAATATCAAACCATATTTATTACCCAAAGTCAGTAATTGAGAAACATCCATTCAAAATTTCATTGTTGACAAAATATGACATTTTTTATACAAGCATATGTTTGCTTAATGCATGTTTGCTGTTATGTATTGTGTAAGGTTTTCCATTCTTCAATACATGCACTGCTGGAAACACAATTAGAGTCTGTAAACAGCCACAGATACTGTGTATTTTCTTTATGTTTTTGAATTCATTCACATTAATTAATAATTTTGTATGAAATTGATAAAATGTGTACTCTAAAGACAATTACATGCTCAATATTTTTTTAGGATTAGGTTTGGGAGGGGGAGGATTAGGAGGAGCAGACCCCAACATACTGAGTAACCTTCAGGGAATGTCAGAAGAAGACCGTAAAGCTGTACTGGCCGCCATGCATGGGGATGATTCCCCTTCACAGTCTGATGGTACTTATTTTTCCACATACAGAGGTGTCATACCTTATGCTGTAAAATCTTTAGTTTCTTGATCAAATCACACATTTTTTATAAACAGGAGGAGGAATACCAAATCTTGGAGGTGGTGGGATTCCAGGACTAGGAGCAGGTGGCATGGGATTAGGAGCAGGTGGCATGGGATTAGGAGCAGGTGGCATGGGATTAGGAGCAGGTGGCATGGGACTAGGAGCAGGTGGAATGGGACTGGGAACAGGTGGAATGGGATTAGGAGCAGGTGGAATGGGATTAGGAGCAGGTGGAATGGGATTAGGAGCAGGTGGAATGGGATTAGGTGGTACTGGACTGCAAAATCTGGGATCAGGAGGACCAGGACAAGGTACACATGGAGTGTATAGTACAATATTTATGTTGGGAGGAGAAGTTTACTGTAAAAAGTTTTTTTTTGTCAAATTTGTGCTTCTTTCTCTGATCTATGGTTTTTTATTTAAATAAAGATAATTCTTCAATTCGTGCAATTGCTTTTTCAGTAAATAAGAAGTGTATATAAATTTATTTACTTGAGAACAGGAGGAAGACCTGGAACGTTTGGAGGTCAAAGACTCCCAGGAAATGTTCGACCAAGAACACGTAAGTCACCTTTGTTTCTACAGGTCAAGGTTCAAAGTTCATCAGGCCCACATGACTTCACAATAACCTCTTATTGCCATTAGTATAATATGTAGAATAAATATATTTTTAATGTCATCATTATGGAATCATTTCGGGCAAGTTTTACTTTCATATATGTACATGTTCATGTAAATCATATTTTATTTATCAGGGGTTTATCCAACAGAAGCTTTTGCACAAGAAGTTCAGCAAGAGGTTGAGAAAGGTATATGACAATAATCTTAATTTGTTCTGGACATTTTACTTCTCTGGGTATATGAATAAGAGTTAAACAGATTAAGCCATGAAATACATGAATTTTTTATATCTCTCTGCAGCCAAGGCTTGTAAAGACCCATATGTCAAAGGAATGAACACGATCATTGTTGTTGATACATCCGAGAGTATGAAGGGGGACGGCATTGTACAGGCAAAGGAAGCTATAGAGAAGCTCATGTCAGGTCAGAGGTCAAGGTCAAATATAAACTAAAGGGTTGTTTCTTTTCTGTATTACTAATTTGACTTCCCTCTAGATCAATTTTGATACAACTATTTTACAGAACTTGAGAGTATATCTATGGACTATGGTTTGGAAGAAAATTTGTGCATCATCACATGTGGAAGTGACACTCGAGTAGCACAACATCTGACCAATGACTACCAGCTTGTCAGACAAAGTTTAGGTAAACCAGTTTTTTACTGTTTTAAGATGATATTGTACTCTATGTGGACTTATTTTAACTTTTTAAAATTTAGCACAAACCTAGTTCAGGAATATTTGGCCTAGACTTATTAGGTCTAAATGTTTTATCTTCAAGTGTAATATATACATGTATAAAATCATATTTTGGTGATATTCATAGATTAGCATACAAAGGAATGTGAGATGCTAATGTATTGATATGAATCCAACTAAAATAAGTACTTACCCTGTAATTAGCTGAAGAATGATGTAATCTTAAATTAGTACATGTATTATTTGCTTAAAATAAAGAAAGAGTTTAATCAAATTAATTCTTGTCCATTCTATCAATAAATTACAGCTCAGATCCGGACAGGGGGCAGTACTCCTCTGCAGCTGGCCATATCCCTGGGTATTGGTGCACTCCAGAGAGGTAACCTTAATCCAAACTATTAATACATCCTTCATTTGACTTACAGAGAAACTTGTTTTTCCATTCACAAATTAAGGTAACATAAATAACTAGAAAGGGCAATCATTTTTTGCCAGCAATGATAACTGGTTTTAAATCTATATTTATAGTACAAGCTGAAACAGTGGGATCTCACATTCTACATCCGAGGGTGATTGTTATCTCTGACGGACACGCCACCAATCCCTCCAACCCTCAGGGTCCTGATTCTACCACAGAGGAAATCTCTCAAAAGGTTGTCATGGAAACACAATGATTTTAGAATATTACAATTTTATGGAGTGTAGATTTAAGATTGATTCTATCTGATTTCATTTTAACATTTTTTGAATTTTTATGTAATTGTTCGAGATTTTCTTTGGAGCTTGTTATGATTTTCATTATGTGTTTGTAGGAGACGCCAGGTGTTATAAACATTATTCAGAGCATGATCACCAACAAATGTCTTAGGTTTATTTACATTCCGGTTGGAACCCCCGACAGTGTAAGAAACATCTTATACAGTACATCTCTATTATTCAATCTATTTCAAAACTTGTTATATACTGTCACATTTACAGAATCACAGAAGTGGCATTATTATAATATGAATGTTTGACTGACTGTAATGTAACTCAAGAAGATTCTATTGAGTAAAACTCCCAATATCTATAAAAAAAATATTATATAGTCTATATATAGTCCTTATATTGAATTGAATTTATAGTCCTTATATAATTTATACAAGTGTAAACATTTATAAATTAAACTATATTAACCAGATCTGAAGCTAATAATACAATCAGGAATATTATGCAAGAAAAAAGATGGGGTTATTCCTAAAATTACTGGTAATTAGGCTAATTATAATCGCCCACTTTTAGAATAAAATTGCTAACTATGCTGATCCCTAAAATAACCCATTGTACATATTAAAGTACAATTACTATTACACTTTAAAGAATCCAAGTCATTCCTCAAAATATCTTTCCCATTCAGTAATAGAGTTTTTAAAAATTGCCTTAACTGGTCTACAAACTGAAGATGACTTAATGAAATTTTAAAATTTTAACAGACATTTTCCACTTTTGTGGAGTCCATGCCAGGAGCCCACATTGTATTGGCAGGTGATGTCCACAGTTTGGCTCAGTATCACATGCAGCAGGTAATATATAAAGGCAAAGTTTAATGTAACACATGTAATAAAACTCACTTATAAGGAAGTTACAGGCATCTCAAAGTCTGCTTCCTTAAAACCCTATAGGGAACATAGTGAAAATTCTTCTATGGGATTAGTAAAAAGTTCCTTATAATAATAGTATATAAACTAAAGCAGCATTGAATGCAATGGATACAGTTCAACTCGGTTATAATGAAGTCATTGGGACCTCAAAGTTTGTTTCATTATAACCGAGGTTCTTTATTTCCTTATAAGCAACAAAGTGATAAAGTTTTCTACAGAATTTGTTAAAAGTTCGTTATAAACAAGATTTCTTTATAAGTGAGTTCTTAATAACTGAGTTTTACTGTACTGTACAACTGGAAATATTTGTTTGGGTAAGTTTTGTTTATTTTGTTATAAAAACATTTATCAATGATATTAAATCCTTAAGTGATTTTTACCCAGAAAAATTTGATATCAAATGGTTTATTTTTAAGGACGTATGGTAGTGACGATTTTGAATCCACCGCGCAACTCCGAATGACGTAAATGAATCGTATGTCGTTCATCTCTTTAGTAGAGTTGGAAATAAAATTTACAATGCAACTTATTTTAAAGATATACTTGATATAAAATCATATAAAATGTGACTAAAATTTCATTGGATTCAAACTAACAACAAGTCGAGGTAATTTTACGACTTATCTTACTTTTCGGTAATGTAAACAAAGCGGATGTTTCGAAAAGAATGAAATGCGGAGAAAACGAGGATTTTCGTCAACCAAATCTATTCAGCGGCACAGCAAGGCTTCGTTGACTCAAGAAAGGCGATGATGAGCTGCGTCTGACTGAAAATTACTGTGCAAAGATTAAACCCATCATTCGAATCACAAACGCATGACAACTCTAGCCTAGCAAAAACGATCTGCCCAGGTTTGTCTCTAGTATTTGACACCATTTAACTAACATTACCTCAGAAATTCAGTAAAAGTGATTGTGGCTCAGCTAAATACCGGTATTAGATAAGATATATATATATTTATATATATATATGAGTGAACTGGGTACTTTTTTCTGAATTGGGGGCATGAGTGAACTCACAACATTATACACTGCATGATAGATCATTTTTAGCAAAAATTAGGTTAAGTGCACATAATTTAGAAATTGAAAAAGGTAGATATGTTGAAATTAATAAAAATGATAGGTTGTGTAAAGTTTGTCAAAACCTTGATATTGAGGATGAAAAACATTTCATTTTGCTCTGTCCGAAATATGAAGCACAGAGAAAAATATTCAAAATAAAATTATCTACTTTCCCTAATTTCAACCAAACAATCCATAATAATGACAATTTGTTAAAATCATTGATGAAAACCAGGTGTAAAAGGGTTCTTAAAATATTATCTTCATTTTTATGTCAAATATCTGATATTAGAAAAAAATGTTTTAGCTATAAATGAGTAACTACATTGTTATGAATCACCTAGTATCTGATGAGTACACTACATTATTTGCTACACCAATTGTTTGTATTCTAGTTGTGTTCTACTGTATTATTATACTTATTAATGTGTTCTGTATGGGCCTTTACCAATTACTGTAATTGTGTTTGTGCCAATAAAATATTTGTATTTGTATTTATAAATTAGTGACGATTCATGTTAAAGTTTTTTTCAAAAAAAAAGCAGAGATTTTGTGATTAAAAATTGTTATATTCTTCCTTAGTTGTTGTTTACAATATAGATTCAAAAAAGTGATAAAGAGCACTACACTATATTATAATAAAAACAATACCACTGGTTACCAGTGCACACATGAGGGGGTAATTTACATGATTTATACACAATTCTGTTTTGCAATTTATTTTTATATTGTGTGACATGATTGCATTCCGGAATGTTGGTGAATCAATAAAAATTCAAAAATTTATAGATGTTATTCAGGTGCGCTTGATTTTGGAAAAACATTTCGAGTTTCATGTACTCTATCATGTCTACATGTATGTATTGATGCTTTTAAATTTAGCAAACATAGAAAATATATTAAAAGAAACAATAATTTATTATAAATGTTAAGTCATATGAGACACAGTTATAACTCAATGAAATTTGAAGGTAACCAGATGCAAGGTGTTGGACACTGTCTAGACAATTTTCTTCCAAAACATACTAGATAAAAAATTCACTACACTACAACACAAATAATACTTACCACTAAATTCTTTGGCCTAAAACAGGACTTTTCTTTTTATTAAGATTATTTCTTTCCTTATTAATTTCCAAGTTATGTTGATGGTAGAGTGTCTGAATTGCAATTTTGACTATAATCATTTTTTTTAATTGAATTTTCTTCTGAGTTCATGAAAGCTAAAAGCATCAATACATATTATAGAGTATGTGAAACTCAATCATAATCATGTAGACCACACAATATGAAAATAAAATAAAACACTCGTTTATACTGCATCTACATTTACATATATGCAGTGATAGGGAAGAAATCTCAGCTATATAGATTTAGTAGTACATGTATATTATTTGAATAGGTATCCCTAATATTGTGGACATTGAACATGAAGTTGAGATGGAACAGGATCTGGAACCCTTAATATCTGCTATCTGGAAACTTGGAAGGAGGGTTATGGAACTGGGGGTGATATGACAGATGCTCTAAAATGTCCATGCCATTTCAGCAGCTCTTTCATGCTGTGGATATCCTAACTTATGGATCATCAGCTACCATTAAGGTACATTTACATTTGTCAAAATGTTAGGCTGTGGTGTTGTTAGGCAAAATTGTTTCCACTTTCACAACCCAGTGAACCCACCCTATTTTGCAGCTGACCCCAATTTTTTTTAAAATGCTTTTTCAAGAAAAATATGAATATTCATTTTAAATTCCCCAATAATAGCATGTATAAAAAAATTTCCACCATAAATAAAACACTATTTCTTTGACTTCCAGTCTATGCAAAAGACATCGGACCGTCAGACCTGACCGATGTGTAGTGCCTCTGGTCCGATGCGTCATTTTTTACACCGGACCAGAATGTCCGATGTGTCTATGTCCAGTTTTGAGCATTATTATTTTGATGGGGAGTCATGTAAATGTTCGTTATAAGTAAAAAATTTCTCACAAATCCAAATACGTAAATGAAGGTGATTAAAACCGTATGGACCATCTACAGTACTATGCGGGAGCAATCCCTTGTAAAAGAAAAGGTGTTAGGCTTACTACTCTGCATTTTCATGTTTTTCACTTTTTTACATTAGGTTTTTTGGTCCAACAAAAATTGATTCGGTCCTGTGTGTTCATTGATTACACAGGACCCAATGTCCTGTGTGGTCCAAAAAACTTTCGCATAGACTGGACATCAGTGTTACTTGGTTGTTTTATTTAAAAAAGTCCACGCAAAAAAAAAAAATTAAAAATATGCCTACCAGTACCTACCGGAACTCTAAATTTTTCAAGCATGAACATGATAAAAGTGGAAACAAAGCAGGTTTAACCAATCATTTTCCTTGGCTTTACTTACTAGATTATTTTCTTTGATAATTGGCTAGATTTCACAATTAGTAAGCAAGTAAATTGTATTTTATACATGTAGTGATATATTACAGTATGAAGAAAAACATAAAAATACATGTAATCAGTCAATCAGACCTATGTGTCACTTTTAGACAAATACATGTATATCATAGTTGATACCCATGACAAGTTTTAGATAAAGTTGAAAGTACCATATGTAGTGATGTAAAGATTAATCGATTAAATCAATTATCTAATCGAAATGGTCCCCGATTATAGATAATCGATTACTCAAAATATTAGTTAAATGCAAATTATTCCTTTAATTTTTGATTCATTCTTCTTTGAATTTAACTAAATCCTAAATAATAATCTAATAAATGAATCCAATGATACAAACTATTTCAAAAATGTATTTTGGAAATCACTCCAGAATTTCTAAACAATTTATTCTACATTTGAAATTGAAGAAATATAATATTTGAAATTAATCAATTTTTTTTTTCGATTATAGTGCATCCCATTATTCCAATAATCAATTATGAAAAAAATCCCAATTTCCCATCACTAACCATATGCAAGAATTGTTTGATGAATACTAACTGGTATATTAGGTTTGACATTAAATATTATGAATTATACATAAATACAAACATACTTAATTATTGTTTATTTATAGTATCATAGGGACATACAACTTGTATGTTTCATAGTTATTAACTTATTAAACATTTCATGTTTGAAATAAAGCCAACAGGTTTAGGTATGTGAAATCACTAACTGCCCATATACATATAACAAGTTTATTGATGCAGACCTCTAGTAAAAAAAAAAAAAAGGGGGGGTGCAACTGACATCTTAATGAAAATTTACTCTATAGCCAAATACTATTCTCAGAAAAAAGTTAGGAGGACAGACCCCCACCCCCCAACACACACAACCATTCTGTAGGCCTGTATTGACTAGATCAGGTGGACAAGATCATTTGATTGTTATTAAAATGAAAATTATTTTATCACCTGCACTAATAACTAAAACAAGATTATTGTTTCTTACAGAGAGCGGGAACATCATGATCATATAAGCAATGAGACGAGAAAAGTTTTCAACTTTTTCCACAAAGAACAATCAATAAACAGGCAGACAAAATTCCAGGTCTAAAAATAAATGGAATGAAGGTGTACAATAACAAGTGAACATAGAAGTTTCTCTTGTAACAATCAGAATTAGACTAAAGTTTTGAGTAACGACAAGAAAAGTGTAGTCACTGGATACACTATCATTTCCTATGATGTCCCAGTATTAATCGAATGCAGTTTAAAACTGGCATTGCCAACAAATTCGATATGGAGTTATTGATGGAAGATGTGAATTGAAAACTGTGTGTGACTCGTTATAAAAAGTAAAGTGGATTCTATCTCAGAATGCAGACTTTTTCAGTTGAAAGACCCCAGAGTTTTATATGAAAAGAGTCATATATCTTCAGTCTGTTTGAAATGTCCATGACATCAGTTGTGGATACAATATTGGTGTTATCAGAATTTGCCATGTCTGTAGCATCATTTTTAGATACAATGTCAGTGTTTGGTACTAAATGTAATAAGTTTTCATTAATTCAAATTTGGTCAAATTACAAATTATTTTTCTTTTTTTTTTTAATTGTAGATAGAGCAAATAAGTTTTCAATATGTTAATATATTTTGATTCTCATGAAATTTGCAATATTAAATACATTTCATTATAAAAATTATTTCATTACCTTATCATTGTATGAACAGATGCTAAATACACTGCATGTTAAAAAAAAGAGTAGAACCTGGGAAATTCATGTTCCTTATTTTTAACAAGGTTTTCCATTGGAAAAATGATGAAAATGGCACACAAGGACTGCTAATGACCCAAATGTGTGCCATGACCTTGACTCAAGATCCTTTGATCAAGTTAAATGTCATTTTAAGAAAAACATTGAATTCCTGTATTTTGTATGGAGAACATGAGATGCTCATACTGATCGTAAATATTGCATATAACCTAAGGTTACATGTATGTATTGAGTTACTGACCTTGACTCAAGGTCATTCCAGCAAGTTCAAGGCTTCTGGCAGAAAAGGTGTGTTATTTGTACCTGGTCTATTACTCTCAAATGGAGGCTAATTGGTAGTTGATACTTGACACAAAAATTGCTTATGACTCAAATCTGTGTCATAATCTGACCCAATGTCATGAATGTATAATCTCCTACAACTTTCTTGTATTAATAATCTCCCGTCCCTCATGCATATGGTTACATTGAGGAGGTAATAAGCTGCCTCACGTCATGTACTGTAAGTTTTTATCTTCATTTATAAGCTCCTGTCAGTGTGTGAGAGTTATGTCAGGTGCAGTATTACAAAGCTGCTCAAGCCCGTAGAATGCTGGGGGGACCTACTTTTTCCGAGTATAGTAGTTTGCTATAGTGATTGCCCCCCCCCCCCCCCCCCCCCCCCGTTGCTACAAGGTCAAGCACTGTCAATTTCCACAAAATGGACATTTAATAAGTTTGGTTTCTTTTTTTTTTTTTTGCCCATCAGATTATTTTGGGAAGTTGCCCCTCCCCTATTTTTGGTGAGTTTAGTTTTTTTTTTTTTTTTTTTTTTTGCTTGACAGATTTTTTTGGGGGAAGGTGCCCCCCCCCCCCCACTTTTGAAACTGTTGCTACAAGCCTACTGCTTGACTTGTAAACTTATGATACTTATTATTAGAGAAACAAAGGTTATTTTAACCATAAAAAGAAAACTAGAAAAAGATATTTAAGATAAATAGTTTAAAACCCTTCAAATTATAAAACATAAGTTCATCTATTTTAGTGAAGGACTATTTTTGTACTTTGTGGTTTTAGCTCTTAAAATTTTATCTGATTTTGTTAAATATTGCTGTTACTCTACACCATATTGTACACATGCATAGCAAAGTACAGTGTAGTATATTGTGGTGGTGTCACTATTTTACCTAGCTTCAACAGCATGTATGATGGTTTAGTCAGACTTGTAGCAACAATTTCAAAAAAAGGGGGGGGGGGGACAACTTCCCAAAAAAAATCTGATAAAGGAAAAAAAGACCAAAAAAGGGGGCAATATTTCTCAAAAATCTGACAAGCAAATATAAAAAAAACACCTAATTTCACTATCCAAATCCTGGAATTTGCTAGTGCTCGACATTGGAGACTAGCATCTAAGGAAAAATTTACAACAATATACTTTACTCAGACCCCCCCCCCCCCCCCCGCATTCTACGGACCTCGGTTTAATAGCTGATTAGTTAATAGTTACTGAATCATATCTAATCTTTCAATATTGCTCAAGATGGAAAATATTCATTCAAGACAAAGATTTATTATTAATTAAAATTAAACATGGAGACATAGAACGAATGTACAATAAGCCTCGAGCATTCTGTCTTCGTCAATTCACTTTATTTCATCCGTTCCACTAAAACGTTAGAAATTATAAGCCGGAGTTTCAAATTCTATTTTTGTTTTTGTTCAAAACAATTCATAGATAATTGTAAACACCTCCTCCAAGTCTACTTTCAACTTTGATTCCGATTCGGCATTTTGTATACGAGTTGCAAACTGGAAGTGACATGTACACGATAATGTACAAAACCAAACCGGGAAATCGGAAGATTTTCGGATTGTTCGGCAAAAATCTGGTGAAAAGCATTGCCCGCCGTGTCACAAGAGAAAAATAATAACTATAATAAAAATTTGAGTTTAAAACGACAAAATCAGGAGAGTTAGAAACTATAAGCAAGTAAATAAATTGCAATCTCATTATTTTAACATTTTATAACAGCTTTTTGAGCAGAGGAAATTCGGGTCAGGAAATTCGGGAGCACATTACTCCAAAACTACACACTAACATTATAATTTTTTATTAGCAATTTGTAAAGCAAGCAAATCACTATAAATATAGCATAAGATATCAAACTTTTAATTATTCTTTCATTATTAAAAAATACGTTGTACATATACATGAACCCATTTTCCCAATAAATTGTCATGATATAAATGAATCAAAATTAATTTGGCTTTTTGGCTTTTTTCTTGCACTATTTTGTTTTGAAATTAAAATTTCAATATTGTGGATGACATCGTTTTCAAAAAAATATTTTTATGTTGTTTTTATTGTTGTTCTCAATTTTTTAAAAATTGGTTATAAAAATATCACTTTATCATATAGAGTTACCCCCCTTATTTTAGTGCGTCATAATTTTTAATTTACTCACTAGAACCTTTTCTTATAATATTTTATGAAATATATAAAGGTACTTCTTTCATTTTATGTGGATGTTTTAGAGTTTTAATTACTCTGAAATTAGGACTTGTCAGTACCATACTCCCTTAAACAACAAAATTGAGTCATCCTTGAAATCATTTTTGTTCATTAATCAACAAAATTTTATCACTAAGATTTCTGATTCAGAATAATTTCCAATAAGATTTTCTGAAAATGAATGGAGTAATGTCAGTTCATTCTCGAAATTTTGTAGAGAGTGGTTGGAGAGGCTAAAGAAAAAAGAAAGGAGGGTCAAGTTACCAAGGAGACGGTCAAGTCCATAGTTCAGTCAAAATACCCGTCACTGGGGGAGAGAGACATTGTAGGTTTTATGATAGATTTGAAATTGTGTTGTCTTGGATATATCATCTTAAGGATAGTTATTGCATTAAAGAACATAGTCTTAGTAGTTGATACTTAATCTATTTGACTTAAGTAGTGCACCATACCTGTTTAAAATCGGATTTTCTTGCAGAACTTAAAAGTTTAATTATCACAACAAGAAAAGATACTGGTATTTTGATGAAAAATTTTAACCATGTTTTCAATCTCCAGAAGGTACCTTTCAAGAATGTAATTTTAAAACTTTCCTATTTCTTCCAGGAAGCCATCATGGTGCAGATTAATGAACCAAACAGTCAGATAGAGTTCCAGGCAATGGACCCTCAGTTACAGGCCCTGGCAGAGCTGGGGATGCCCCAGGGCCTAGGGAGAGGAACCTCAGGTGGCCCACCAACCAATCCTCTGGGAGGAGGAGGAATTCCAGGGGTCCAGCAGGGGATGACGGGGCTCAATTTAGGGGGAGGGGCTGCAGGTGCTGGTGGGGGTGGGGCAGGTACCCCAATCACTGAAGAACAGATGGCGGATGCCCAGAGGCAGATTAGAGAGAGACGGGAGGAAATACAGAGGATGAGAGAACGGGGAGAGTGGCCCCCAAAGGATGACAGTATGCCTTTTCAACTACCGGGTCTCATGGCCCGTCCCGATGGACCCGAAGCCCAAGCTGAGGAATCAGAAGAAATTACACAGGAGAAAATTAATGAGCTCCTGGAGAAATATGGGGGTGGGCCTCCAAAGAAAGACAATTTACCTATCCCACTGCATCCAGGGATTCGAGTCACTACAGGGCCAGACTGGATGTGGAGGATGAATGAAGTGGAGGTGGGCGAAAAAGGTGGGTCAAAGGTCAAAGGGGAAATGTGTCACTATATACTGGGAATTATTTAAATCTGCATTTTCTTTAAAGGGGAACATATGTTGTTCTACACCAGGGCATAAATATACATTTGCAGAAGGGCACGTTACAGAAGCAAATTTTTGCATGTCTGCTAGACACTTCTTGTCTAAATATTTATATAAGTACTATAATAGATATTTAAGTGCATCGACATTACTAATTCTTTGGTTAGTTACAATCTTTTTGAAAGATTTGTTTTTCATTTTGTTAACAGGAACAGTGGTAGAATCTAAACCTGATGAGGAGAACCCGACGGGAGAATTTGATGGGTGGATCCGAGTTAAGTGGGATAATGGTGTGGAGGAGGATTACAGATATGGACTCGACTATGAGTTTGACATCGAGCCTGAAATAGGAGGAATGGATGCTGTAGAGTGGCCACCAGGAAAACGTAACTGTTTTGTAGAGGGAAGGAAGGGGAAGGGCAGTGGGTACTGGATGAGGACGGGGAACTGAAAGTTTGATGATATTAACCAACACAAATAGTTGGATGCTATAATATGGCTGCCAGGCAAATATATTAAGTGTTCTTTTGTGTAGGAGGAGGGAGGAGGGGGGTTGGGTGAGGGGGATGGAGTAATACACTATTACTTATAATGATGGATGAGCCAATGATTTTTGTGATGAGCTAGTACAGAAAGGTTCGATTCCCTAGAATGGCTGACAATGCTACCAATTGCTAAGATGTATTCTGTTAGAAAGATTGGACAGAGACACCAATAGTGGCTAAGATATATCCTCTGACTAAAATTTTCAAATGTTTGGGAGATTAAGATTAAATAGCAATGAGGATGACAGAGAATTATTAAAGAAGTATGGTGGCTTCATTCTTTAGTAGCGGAGAGAGAGAGGGGGGAAAAGGGGTCATTTACATGGTATGATTCTCATTACTTGTGAATTAACACATGTTTTTAGTTGATAATCATTTTAAACAAGAGGATATGATTTAATGTAATATATATAATTGTAATAGTTTTTTTTTAAAACTTCAGTTGTAGCTAGCATATTCATCATATTGAAGCATAATGAATCTTAGAAAAATAATTTAATCAATATAAATGTTTATTTTTCAGAAAGAATCATTGTAGAGGAGGACCCACTATTAAATGATGATGAAGATTTCTTGGTTAGTTCAGTTCTAAATTGAAACTGATTTATTAATAAATACTTAATTTGAAAATACTAAATTTATTTCCAGTTTAGCATACGGTGGACGATTTCACTTAAGCTATTTTTTTTTATTGCAGGAAACCATGAATAAACTTATAAACAAGGGAAAACCTGCAGAGTCAGAGATTTATTCCCGGTATTCTGAAACTTCATTTTATTTATTTATTTATTTTTTAAATTGCACACAGATATTAAGAGTTGAAATATTAAGTGAAGTTGACAGTAAAATTCCTGGGAAAAGTGAAAATGAATATTCAAATACAATTGGTTTATTTTTAGAACAAATAATGCCAGCAGTCCTGCAGGGGCCTCAGGCGTAGACCCATTCAATTCAGAGTTACGAAACCCCTCTGCCCAGGGCCCTCCACCTAAGGCAGAAGATATCCCCTTCCTAAACCCCGCCCATGCTAAAGAGTACGAAAGGTTGATGCAGAACCCCAGGCCTGACCCCACACTCCCGTACCTGTCAGAGAACCAGTTGCCAAATCAGTTTGATGGACCCCAGTTCCCCCCTTACAATCCAGAAACTTTTCCAGGGAATTTTGAACAATTCCAGAATCCACCAATTCCAGACCAGACTGGTTCTAATGTGACACCATCGACCAATCAGAACACAGCTGGTGCCACCAGTAAAAAACCTTCAGGTGTCTAGTAGTGATTATGTTATAACAATTTGAATAATGCTACTGTAACTTTTTTTTTAATCTTATTCTGTACAATATAAAAAAAAAGATGATAAATTGTTTATGAAATAAAATTCCGTATTTATCATTCAGGAAACACAAATTAATGCTTACAGCAAAGTGATTTTCATTTCCTTTAGTTGTAGTCCCTGGTGCTTTGCTATAAGTGTGTTTTACTTCAATTATTTAAGACATGACAGAGTTTCATTTTGTTTTGTTTTTTTCAGACAAGGAGGTGTGTTATGTTTGGCAATACTACACAGACGAGGGGGACTGGAGGTCATACCCCCCTGACATTCAGAAAAAGGCCGAGACCGAGTATCTGAAACGACAGCAGAAGGGCAGTATTGTCATTAACATGGGAAGTGGATCGTAAGTTATATACAGTATTGTCATTGACATGGGGAGTGGATCGTAAGTTATATATAGTATTGTCATTTACAATATGGGGAGTGGATCATAAGTTATATACACTATTGTCATTTACAACATGGGGAGTGGATCATAAGTTATACAGTATTGTCTTTAACATGGGGAGTGGATTTTAAGTCATATAGTTTTGTCATTAATAACATGGGGAGTGGATCTTAAGTCATCATTAACATGGGGAGTGGATCATAAGTTATACAGTATTGTCTTTAAGATGGGGAGTGGATCATAAGTTATCAAGTATTAATTGTCATTGACATGGGGCGTGGATCATAAGTTATGAAGTATTGTCATTGACATGGGGAGTGGATCATAAGTTATACAGTATTGTCATTTTTTTTGTCATATGTATTGTCATATTTTGGTGAGGGTTTAATTGTTTTTGAGGTATGATTAATGTATGAGGAGACCCATGAAATCATGTCCACCACGAAATGTAAAATATCAGGTACATACATGTAACTACTTAACACTTCCCCAACCATGAAATTAAATCCTCCTGAATCAATATTTTTTCTTCAAACCTCAAAAATTTGACCCCACAAAAATATATAATTTTATAGTATTCCTTTATAAAATTGTAAAATAAAAAGCTAGACAATTTCTAAGCATTAAAGTGATATTTTACATGTTCTGATTAGTGGAGGAGGGGGGAGGGGGGATACTTAGAAATAATCCCATAGTTATAAAGTATAAAAAAAAAAAACATAACTGAAGGGTAAAATTTTTGTGAAAGAAACATGGGGTAAAATGTGCCAGGGTACAGTACTGGCAACTTTCGAATTTTGTATGAAAATTTATTCTCTGTTTGCACGAATGGTGTTAAGCTTCTGTTTTTTCATTAATTTGCCAGGGAAAGGATAATTTTCAAAAGCATGGAACAGAGATGTGTAGAAAAACGGAAAATCCGACCAGTTCGAAGAATTGGTAGGTTTAATCAACTCTCATTATTTGTATATTTTGAAGATTAAAATACTTTATTAAAAGTAAATAAAAACCTTTTTGACCTCAGCAGGAGATCTAGACTACAAAGTATCAGTTTTTATTTTAGAAATTTAAATCCAAAATTTTTTAGTAATAGTTCAACCTCAAGACTTTGCAGTTTATTAATGATGATTTATTTGTTTTTCCTGGCAGAGGCTGATGCTGAAAAATTAAGAGAACTCCAGGAGATGTGGTCATCTACCTGAACAGGAAGTGATATTATTACTAACTGAACAGGAAGTGATGTCATTACTAACTGAACAGGAAGTGATATCATTACTAACTGAACAGGAAGTGATATCATTACTAACTGAACAGGAAGTGATGTCATCCTTTGATATTAATGACTTTAATTTGATTTGATGATGTTTCAAAAAGTGCCATTAAGACTATCACTCTGTTTCACTCATATAATGACTCTGAACATGTTTATTTTTTTAATTTGGAACACTTATTAACATCATTATTAATTGTTTTTAAAAACAGATTGTTTTTAAGGTGTTATTGCTCATTTTGATGATCAAATGTAAATATTCTTGTTTTTGCTTGTGTTACGAGTACTTGTAGATGTACGTCATATGAAAATGTCATTTTACCTTTTTGTTAAGTATTAGCAGTATTTATTATACTTATGTACATATCCACATTTTTGTCTTATAGATTTTTGTTTGAAGTATTTGAAATGTTTCTTTTTCCAGGGAATTTTATATTTCCTGTTAAAACTGGACTGAAATTTTCATTTCATTTTTGATAATCTCTTTAAAATGATATTTAACTTAAATTATATGTCCTGAATAAGACAATAAAAGATTTGTGGATGCATCATTGAATAGATTTAATTTATGATAATAAAAAAATGTAGAGGATTAATTCTCGTAAAGCACATGACAGTTATGTAATTTTTTCCAGATATTTACAACTGATCTGATAATTAATACATGTTAAATATTTGGTCTTCTTTAAAACTTATTTTTAATTATTATGGATATGTCTCTACATGCATGCCATTGGATGCATGGAGTAACTGTTATGAATTGTAAATTTTCTTGTTCATTGAAGAAATTTTATATGATGACATTCTCCCAAGCTCAAATTAAAGACTTTTGTATTTGTCTATGATAGTTTCCTTGAACTTTTCTTTTGCCCCCCCCCCCCCCCCCCCCCCCGGTTCTTTATAATATGCTTTAAAAGCAGGTATACCTCATACTAAATTGACCTACTTTTTTCCATTGATGGAGTAAGAAGCTGATAAGGGGGCAACGATTTCATTCTGAGGGATGTAGGGTGGGGCTTGAAGATTTTGGAAAGAAATATTCCGTCCTTGAAACTTTTGAAAATAAATAATCTTACCCCCACCAGTAAGAAAGTAATCTAACCTTGACTGGACTTTAACCCCCCCCCCCCCCACCACCACCACCACCACCACCGAAATATAATTTATGAGTTCGAGTTTATTTTCGTGTAATTTTTTATTGAAGAAAAATAAATTTTCTCCTGTCATCTTTGAAAAATAAATACTTATAACCCTCGATTTTTCAGGAAAAATGCGAAGTAAACTAATGCGAATTAAATTTTTATTTCTACAATAAGGCTATTCAGTAAGGCTATTATGACGTCATTTTGCGAATCACGTCACATTGTGCCGAGCAGATACATTTGACCACTGATTTGACATAATGTCATAGTGTCTGTACACATTTTAGTGATGATTATCATAATTTTCCTTTGTTTTCCACTCAAAAGTAGCACAAGTACCTATATCTGACCATCGACATGTGGCCTGTGACTTGATTCTGCCCTGACGCATGCGTCAAAATTTAATTCGAATTAGCTTCGCTTAGCGTTCACACGGAGCTAGGCCTAATGTACGGAAGCGTAATAGGGCCGCAGCAGTATCTTTTATTAATTTGTTTTAACAAATTACTAATTTGTTATAACAAATTATCAATTAGTTATAATAAATTATCAATTTGTTAAAACAGATTACTAATTTGTTATAACAGATTATTAATTTGTTATAACAAATTACTAATTTGTTATAACAAATTATCAATTTCGTTATAACAAATTATTAATCTGTTATAACAAATTACTAATTTGTTATAACAAATTATCAATTTGTTAAAACAGATTACTAATTTGTTATAACAGATTACTAATTTGTTATAACAACTTTCTTATTTGTTATAACAAATTATCAATTTCGTTATAACAAATTATTAATCTGTTATAACAAATTACTAATTTGTTATAACAAATTATCAATTTGTTAAAACAGATTACTAATTTGTTATAACAGATTACTAATTTGTTATAACAACTTACTAATTTGTTATAACAAATTATCAATTTGTTACAACAAATTATCAATTTGTTATAACAAATTATCAATTTGTTATAACAAATTATCAATTTGTTATAACAAATTATTAATTTGTTATAACAGATTACTAATTTGTTATAACAGATTACTAATTTGTTATAACAAATTACTAATTTGATATGACAAATTATCAATTTGATATAACAAATTATTAATTTGTTATAACAAATTATTAATTTGTTATAACAGATTACTAATTTGTTATAACAAATTACTTATTTGATATGACAAATTATCAATTTGATATAACAAATTATTAATTTGTTATAACAAATTATTAATTTGTTATAACAGATTAGTAATCTGTTATAACAAATTAGTAATTTGTTTTAACAAATTAGTAATTTGTTTTAACAAATTAGTAATTTGTTTTACAAATTGATAATCTGTTATAACAAATTGATAATTTGTTATAACAAATTAGTAATTTGTTATAACAAATTAGTAATCTGTTATAACAAATTAGTAATCTGTTATAACAAATTAATAAAAGATACTGTTGCGGCCCTAATACGCTTCCGTACTAATGCGAAGTAATTTAATGCGCAGTAAATTAATTCGAATTAAACTAATTCGCATTGAATTCTCCGTGTGAACGCGGTTCAAATTTAATTCGCAGTAACTTACGTTTAATTCGAATTAAACTCTCCGTGTGAACAGGGCATAAGATTTTATAAAGTTGCAAGTCCGCTTAAACATATGATATATCTTCCTTTATATTTTGTCTTTTCACATACATGTACATCTTCGCTTGCCAAGTGTTTCTGATCCGCTACTCTCCTCTCACACAAGCGTTTGTGAGGAGATCGATGATCAGAAATCTTGCATGGGTTAGCGAAGTTCAAGATGTTTCACGCAATGAAACAAAAAAAATCTCTGTATCATAAATAAGCAACGATATGAAAAAATTTATCGAAACCAAGTTGAACGATTCAAAATGATGCTGAATTTGTATAGAAAATGAATCTAGCTTTTATCAGTTGATCAAACAAATTGATCAGGTGGAAAGGACGAAGATAGTAGCCCAGCTATACATGATATGATGAAACTTAAAGAAAGAAGATAGTAGCCCATGGCCAGCTGTAGACCTGATATGATGAAATTTAAAGAAGAAAACAAAAGAATAAAACAATGTATTTCTGCAATGTATTGTATGAAGAAAAGAGGCTTTTTAATGCCAAAAAGCGCATTTTTTCAAGATAAACCAATTCTTATACAATAAATTCCATATGCATGCAAACTTTAGTATGGAAGAACGCCTAATAACTCAAGAACGAAATCTGAAGAGATTCCCGGTAAAGGTATACTTAATTTCTATACATCTATACAGAATTTCAGTTGGTCATAAGCGAAGTTGTTATTCATGGAACAAGATAAACGATCCAGAACTTAAGAATGACCTCTTGATTGACTACGTACAATACGCTAAAATTTAGTGGAAAATATTAAAGGTGTAACCTGTCAGTCTGGTTTGAAAGGCGGGTGGGGGTGGGGGTTAGGTTGCAAGTAAATAAGGTAATCGATCTATAGAATAGAATACATGTAGGATTTATTACCAAATCAGGGCCCAATGGGTATAAACATATAACATGTATAATTACAGATAAGATAACAGACAGAATACAACATATAATGAAGAGCAATTCTTCCATTTAGTACATTGGTGGTATTTTGAGTTTCATATGTATAAACATATAGGTTGTCTTGATTTAAGATATATCTGTACTTTTAATTGATACAACTTAATTAAGGAATAACTGTCTAATTTTTTGGTTTCATGATGTGATCAATCGATTGGGTTGCGTGATAATTTGCATAAACGCCAAAGGCGTTTATGCATAAAATTATCACGCAAGCCAATCGATTGATCATTGTCATGAAACCAAAAAATCTGACAGTTATTCCTTATATTTACATGCACTTGATTCTGCAAATTCACGTGCTACAAGTTCCGCTTCTGTCTCTATTTGTCCCGCCCCGCACGTGATTTTTTTCACGCCTATCGATGAACCAGTAGATTTATGTAGAAATAAAGTATTTTTACTATTTGAAATTTTATCTCCGACAAAGACATTGGAAATGTAAATATTGTGCAATCATGTGCATTATTATTACTAATACATGTATTATATATATAACTGAACACATAAAAAATGTCTGATACATCAACAAGAGGCAGCAAGAGTCGGTGCTAAAGGAATACAGAAATCCACTTCTGCCTCACCTGTATGATTTTTAAAGGCGGATTCCGCCTGGAATATGGATGGAATCTAGCAGGAATTGGCAAATTCCGGGCGTACTTGAGGCGGAGACGGAGTTTTTGAAAAGTTACGCCTGAGTATAAGAGACGTCTTCCAGGCATCAGTTCTACTTTCAGGGCGTCAAGTTCAGATTTTCCCTGGCGTAAAGTGGCAGGAAAATGGAAACAGAAATTACGTCTGGAACTTTCAGGAGGAGTAAAAGCGTCTGATTGGTCAATTTAATTATCAATTAAGGGTCATTTCAGATAGGAGGTTAAGTTTGAATTTGATCAGGAAGGAGGGAGTTTAGTGTGAGTGAAATAGGGAATACAGATATATCAATGTTAATTAAGACTTTTACACTTGTTCTGGATGACACAGTATCTGCTGGTAGGTGTGATAATTAATATCTGGTATCAAATTGAGTAGATCCTTTGATTATGATTATGTACAATGATCATATAAATTTCACAAGTCTAGTTTTTCGTCTCTTTCTCATGCAACGAATTTACATGAAATTCATGTGAATTTCACATAAAATTTATGTAAGCCATTTTTGCCTGTGTAATGACCTGTCATTATGTTTTCTTCCAGTTCAAAAGGCTACATTTTTAACTTTAACAATTTGTAAATCATAACCTAAATGTTTTTTCTAGGTTATATAGGTTTTTAGGTCACATAGTTTTATATAAGGACTTTCCAGGCGTAATTCTGCTTCAGGCGTCATTTTAGTTTCCAGGCGTAAATTTTTTCCGGGCGTCATTTATTTTTCCGGGCGTAGCTCGTTTGCATTTTTCGCCTTAAATTCCTGCTCAATTCCTCTTGGTTTCCTCTTAAGTTACGCCCAGAACCTGTATATCACCATATATGTATTGAGACAAACTGACGCCCGGAATCCCTTCTCCAAGTATGCCTCTATTCCCCCTATATTTCGGGCGGAACATTTCATACAGGCATGTAGAATAATCAATCAATCAATCAATCAAAACAGATAAACAGATACATAATCTATGGAAAAGAGTATGAATAATAATAATAACAATAGCAATAATAATAATAATAACAATAGCAATAATAATAATAATAATAATAATAATAATAATAATAATAATAATAATAATAATAATAATAATAATAATAATAATAATAATAACAATAGCAATAATAATAATAATAATAATAATAATAATAATAATAATAATAATAATAATAATAATAATAATAATAATAATAGCAATAATAATAATAATAATAATAATAATAATAATAATAATAATAATAATAATAATAATAATAAATTATGTATTGAGTGGCATGCGTAAATTATATTAAACTGCAATGGACAGCAAGAGTCGGTGCTGAAGGATAGTATTATTATTTTAATTAATCCACTTCTGCTCATTGCAGAGTATACAACAACACACGCATATTAACAACATAACATACTGTAGTATAAGTATTGAATTAAAGTACATGTAAATGAAAGTCAAGATCAGAATGTGACTTTGAATTTGTCTAACTACACATGACTTATAAATTCACACAAATTGCACAGTATATCAACATCTTCACAGTTCATTAACCATAAAAATTGGTTACTTTTAGACATACTATTAAAAAGATGAGATCTCAGAGATATTGTGGAGAGTAATTATTAATTCTTGATAGACTCTATGGTTGGACAACCCAAAAGAAAATTAATGTATTTCATCTTCTACCTCTTTTAATTTACAATTGGGGCATATTATCTCTTCTCTTGGTATACCATTATGTCGACCTTTTTCAATCATCAGATCGTGAGAAGAGATTCGAAATTTTGTTAAAATCTTCCTTTTCTCAAATTTTCTTAATTAAGATTAATAAATAAGGTTCTAGTCCAAAGTTTTGTTTGATTGTGCAGTAAGTGTCTAGATAACTTCCCACATGTACTTAATTGTTCCTTCTTTTGATACCACTTTTCAAGAAAATATGAATTAAGAATGCGTTTACAATGATATTAAAAGACTGATGTAGATGATTTCAGATGAGGCATTAACTGAGGAAGAAGTTGTTTGAATATATCAATAGAACCAAACCATGTTATTTAAGGTTTTTGATAGATATAATAAATAACCATTAAAAAAAATCAAAGCCCACTTAAGGGTTTCCTGTGACCAGAAGGTTAAGGTCACACACATATGCCCACATATATCTCTGAATTTTCAATTTCCTGAACTTTAAAATTTTGGCCTTAACCTTCTTTTAAGATCTATGGTCAGGACGGGATTTCTTTGCATTATTATTTCAAACTAATGTTAAATTTTTATTTCATCCGATTTTAATAAAAAATATATATTTATTTTTCTTAGCAGTTTTATTCATCTTCTTCTTAAATGCAGATCCACTGCAATACTGACAGTTAATTATTTTTTTAAAATGATTTTAAATGCGTTTCTTCACGTCATGTTCTTCCCCCATCTCTTCGGATTAGTGTTTTTCAACCGTGTTCGGTTTCTTCCGGATGTAGAATTCGGACATGGCTGACGCAAACATCAACAATCGGGAAACAAATTTAGAAGACGTGCAAAATCAATTACATGAAGCGACTCTAAGCAACGCAGCAACAGACGGTCAACCAGCAAATGAAGAAGTGGAAGAAAGGGAAATAACACAAACTGACCATTTAAATAAGCGCTTACTGGCCGCATTTCTCGACCGGATAAACGGACCAGGCCCGTCGCCAGAACTTCCTCAGGTTGAGCCGGTGGATAACGAAGGTTGGGAGGAAGAGAGCGAGGAGACGGAGAAGGATAAGTGAAGCATGACCGGAAGGGCACCTGTTATCATTGGGATATCTGGGTGAGTGTTAATGTCAGGTACACGTAACCTACAAACTTATATAACCGGTTAAACAGAGTATTTCACAATAAAAATCTAGTTAAAGGGAACACAATTTTTAGGGTCGCGAGTTTTGAATATATTAAATTGAATAGTCTTCTAAGAATGAATGTTATCATGACATTTTGTCCTAGAAAAGATGATAAACATGAAAAGTAAACTTTCAAATTAAATTTATGATTAATATTGCAAATCACAGGACTTGAAAAGAAAAAAGGCTTTTCCAGATTTACTCTGACTATGATTTATTTTTAGCCACTTTTCAGATTTTGGTACGTCATATATAAGTCCCTTTAGAAGTTTTCAACCTTATTATTCTGTATTTTTAAATTAACATAAGTTAGATACCTTCTTCTCTTTATCTTGGTAAGGAGTCATATTTGATTTGTGCGATCAGCTAGTATTAATTTTAACATCTATAATCGTACAGATAATTTTTAGCTTTAAAAATAATAACAATCCTAAACCTAAATTTATAGTAAGCAGAGCTTTTAAATTGATGAATCTTTTCAATTCATTCAACACTAAACGTTAACAACATCATGTTTTTGAAAATTGCTAGTCATTTAAATAAGTATTTGGTATTATTCAAAATTAAAGGTCAACAATAATAGTATGTGAATAAAGTATTCAGTTTTTTCAAAGCCCAGAAATAACAGGAACAAAAGAAATTCAATACATGGATTTTGTCAATAAACAGGTATATTTAATTGATTTTTTATTCTCTATAGAATAACTCATAGAAAGGTTTCAGATAACTGCATGCACATTCTACTATCTAAATGCTACAATTTAACTCTGATGATCATATGACAATGTACATACATGATGTATGTTGTAACTTTATGTATCATCTTTTTTAAGGACCCTCTCTACACTCCACCCTGATTTCAGGGTACTTTTGTGTAGTTAGACTGACCCATCATTTGATATAGAAATAGAATAAATTTAAAGCTGCACTGTATGACATAATTTGAATTAAATCCAAGTATTCTAAACATTATATTAGACCAAGATAGAGTAGTTGAAAACTTTATTTGCTTGTGTTTTCTCCATTTGAGTTAGCAAAAGTGAATTTTCTTTATTATTACTTCATTATCTTTGAAGATTTTTCCTGGACAAAAAAAGGCACGCTCCCTATATTAAAAATGGATTAGTTAATTTCAAAATATCCTCCTTTACGCTATATAATTTTCTCAAAGTCCAAAAAACATTTTTCATCAGTGTATAGAGGGTCCTTAAATTCATCTGATTTTATGTTAGGCCAAAAAAAATAATAGTCTTGTTTCCTGCTACCAGCCTGAAAAAAATAGGGTAGGTAGGTAGGAAAATTATTTTATTTAATATTTTTATTTTATTTTTTTTCTGACAGCATTTTTTGGATATGAACTAATACAAGATAAAATTAAACATGTCACAGGTCAGTATTGTCTTTTAAAATTGAATTTCATGTCTTTTTATGCACAACTCAAGTGGTATTTTATGAAAGTCCATATTTAAAACAAGAATTTCATGAAATGTTTGTTTTGTGCTAACACGGAAACCGATTACAGGGACAGAACGATGAAATTCCGGAAATTCTCACTTTTTTGCTTCCAAAACTTAAAAAAAAAACTTTAGGGTCGGGTGCAAAAAAATAGGGTAGGTCGGGTAGCAGGAAACAAGACTATTATTTTTTTTGGCCTTATTGCTATGTCCTTTGTACAATAAAAGGAAATTGAAATGCATTTTCCAATAGCAGTTAAAAGAGAAAACTTCACAAATAATAGTTAGGTAATTTTTCACAATCAGTCTCCTTTTACAGGGTAACAAATAGTGGGAAAACGTCCCTGACCAACAAAATCCGAGCTCATCTGCCGGGATGTCGAACAATTTGTCAAGACACCTATTTCTTGGTAGGTTTGGACTACATATGCATTGTACAATGTATGGTTACTAAATTTGTCCAGCAGCAATATATACAATATATTTATATCATATTGAAAAAATGCCTTCTATTGTATTATCAGAATAAAGTATCATGAAAACTTTTAAAATTATGAAATGAATGTGATTTTTTTTTTACACTTGACAGAGAAAAGTTAAATGATATCGAGATATACATGTGCATTCATGCATAAAAATTTATAAGATATCATCACAAAGATAAAATGTCAATGATTTTATTTGTTAAAATGGAGGCATTTCCTTATGTAATTTTTTGATTTACGAAAGGATTCTACAGGTGTTAGCTACATCATTTTATTTCATGTGCAACATATACCTATAACTAGGACAGATACTTTTAATATATCATACTAAAACTTGTTATCTAAATGACATCCACCATTTCATACTAGTATTTATTTGACAAAGGAGTTGAAACCCTCTTGAAAAGCCTCTGGTCAACTTTAATCTGAATATAAAATTAAACATGGAAATTTCTGTTAAATTTTAGAAAATCTACACAATATATATGTACAGTCCACAGTAAACTACTATACAGTTGAACATCAGTATCTCGGACATTGATACCTTAAATACTATGAAAGCTTTTTCTCTGTTCTCTCAAACCCTTGGATATTTCAAAGCTTTTCCTCTGTCCCATTGAGTTTGAGATAACAAGGTTTGACTGTACATGTACATGTTATTGTAACATTTTTGGTGACAATGAAGCACAAATGTGCGAAGCATTTAATGGTTTCCTGCTGATCAGTGAATGTATGTGCCTATTTGAAACATTTAAATTTAATTACTTGATAAAGTTAGATATAAAGAACATTGAAATATGAATGTGTACCCTGCATGATTGTTGTTCCTGTTTATTAGAATGCTGATATTAACATTTATTATGCTTTATATTATCATATTCTACTCCCTGATTCACAGGACCCCCCGGATCCTCGCCTGACCCCAATACCAGAACTAGACCATTACAATTTTGATGGTTTGTATAACTATAGATGTACTATTGTTTTCATTTCCTCTCTTGTATATATCAAGACTTAAAGGGTCTCTGTTTCAAAGCATTGTGTATATTATTTAACATAAATGCATGTTTTTAAGAGCAAGAAACAAAATAGGCAAGAGAATTATTGGAGAGAGAGAGAGATGTGAACTTCAGTGAATTTGTTAAGAATACAGAGGAATGAAGAAATGCCTATATTTTTAGAACTGAATGCCCTTGACATGGAAGCAATGGTAGCAGATGTCCAGTCATGGAAAGATGCACAAAGTAACTCCACTCCAGTGGGATCCACCCCTGATGATATGTATAGCAATGTACTAATTGTAGAAGGATTTAGGATGTATGCTTTGAGGTAAAGAACCCTAATATATTTACAGTTTTACACCCTGTAATGAATGTAATGAATGGGAATGGGTCAGCAAAAAAAAAAAAAAAACCCAAAACCCCCCAGACTTTTTTCTGACCTACACATACAGGTGCGCTTAAAAAAAGTACAGAAATAAAGTTCTATCCATGCATACAGTTTTGTTTGTATCATGTGTTAAATGTTCATCTAATTGTTGTGGTATATTTAACTGTATATAGATTTAATGATTATGTTAGTAATCAGTTCCATTCAATTCCACTGTGTTAGTTAGTTAATTAATAATGCTTATTAATAGTAAGTTATAGACTATTGAATATTGTTAGCACAAAATTATGTCAATCCAACTTGTTTTTTAATTGGGAAGAATTAAATCTACATCCGACTTAAAAATACTTATAGAGTTTATGTCTCCCACTTGATTTAATACTCAAGAGCATGCTCTACATACGAACAATTTCTGAAATGAGGCAAGCTATTGACAAATAAGTTGATGAAACAAAGATATCAACAGTCTCATTTAAAGTCAACATTTCGCAAATTCTATGGTCATAGAACAAAATATATGTATACTAAGATGATGGCTTTCAAAGTTTTTACAGAATTCTTTCTCACCAGAGACCTCTCTGGAAAAGGTGTACCTTATATTTGGATAAATATCACTCTGTAAAGTTAAGGGATAAGATACAAGATATGAGATTTCATTAGTTCAATTTGGGCCCCTGGAGGAACAAAACATTTGTACTAGTACCGGTACTTGAATTAATTGCTAAGAGGATCAGGAGAAATGGAAAATTATAGACTTGAGTGTCCTCTTACATTATTTAGATATGCCAAATTTTTCCTTTACAAGGTGGATTTTGCTTGAATTAGGTATTAGGGTAAGTGAAGAAGGATTAGGGATTCCACACTTTACATAAATCAGTGAAACTCTTATTTTGGGTTGCAGTTCAATGTTGTACTGTACTGTAAGAAATTGTTCATTGTTTCATGTTTTTTTTTTTTATAGAGATTTGGAACAGCTCTTGATGAAGAAATATTTTTGTACAATTCCATATGATGTGTGCATAGCTAGAAGGGGGTAAAAATTCCAAATTAATAACAAATATTACTTTAAATATCAAATGCCATACAGGCATACACTTTATGAACAATTATTATTTTTCATATTTAATTGTCTTGTGATTTTCATAAATCTTTCATTGAGGTTAACCAGAGAGACCAGAACAAGTGACAAATAATATATAAAATATCAAATGTCGTACACTTCATGCACAATTATTATTTATCATATTTAATTATCCTGTGTTTTTCATAAATTTCTTACTGAGGTAAACCTGAATGATTCTCGGATTTACTAGAGAAATCACTTTCATTATTAGGAGTTAATTTTTTGAAACAAAAACTTTAACATTGAATTTTATTTTATAGAACAAGACATTACACCCCACCAGATAAGCCAGGGTATTTTGAGAAAATAGTTTGGCCCGAGTCTATTCTTCATCAAAGAGAAATACAGGACCAAGATGATATAGGTAACTGTCATAGTATAAACCGCAAGCTAAGAAATGCAATAACACAATATTGCATAATTTTTACAGAAATTCCTGTCAGAGTAAAAGATAATATGAATATTACTGTGGAATCATTAATGTTCATGGGGGATCAATGTTCATGGATTTCGTTGGTGACCTTTATCCATGAATTTACATCCCCACCATCAATTATTTATTCATGGAATCATCTGTGTATACGAGTTACCCACGAAATTACGTCCCCACAAACCAGTAAAAATTTTGCTTGCCCACAAACATTAAAATGATTTTACAGTATTTCTCAATAATGTCAACTGTGCACTCACCAGAGTATTAAATAATTAAACTTTTGTTAAAAAAATGATATCATTAAGTAAAACATTTTATTTTTAGAGTACCTTGATGGATCCGGTGACCAAGATGAATTGTGTTTGAAAATTGTGTGTGATATCAAACAGCTGTGTAATGATATAGGAAATTGTGTGTGATATCAAACATTTATTTAGTGATAGAAGAAATTGTGTGTGATATCAAACAGCTAAGTAATGATTGAAGAAATTGTGTGTGATATCAAACAGCTAAGTAATGGTTGAAGAAATTGTGTGTGATATCAAACAGCTAAGTAATGATTAAAGAAATTGTGTGTGATATCAAATAGCTATGTAATAATTGAAGAAATTGTGTGTGATATCAAATAGCTGAAAGAGGAAATTGTGTGTGATATCAAACAGCTTTGTAATGATAGAAGAAATTGTGTTTGTTGTTTTACATTGTTAGCACCAGGTTTTGAAATGGATTTGTGTATACAATAAAACATTTATTTTTAGATATAATTCTTTGTTAGATTTATTTTTCTTTGATGTAGGTGAAACGTTGGTTATAGAATTCTTTGCTCTCTGCTAGAATACTACAAGTAACCACGATTAAGAAAAAAAAAATACCGAAATCGTACATGTAATGGAAACAGTTTTTATTTTAATTATTTCTAAATCTTTTAACTCTTGTAAATGTAATGGAAATGTTTTTTCCTTTATTTCTAAATCAAATAAATATAATGCTAGTAGAGAACAATACTTGTTATGTAAGAGATTGTAAGGGTGTTAATATAATATTAACTAGGGAAAATCTTACAAATTAAAAAAAAAAGTTTTATATCTACAAACATTTGGTCCACGTTAGCTAAAAGTATAAACGTGTGGAATTTGTCAGGAGATTATTGAGAAATTTTGTTGTAATAACTATTTTTAATCTGTACCTTCTATCAAATGCATAACAGAGTAATTACTAGGGTAAGTCAGGGTAATTTCGACCACCGCTTAATTTCGACCACAGGAACACAGCACCACACAAAGATCTACTGAAGTATTGAGACAAGTTAAATTTATTTGCAATTCAAGAAAACTATTCCTCATATTGTGTTTCCTAATATGATTATTCATCGCAAATATGGTTTTATCAGAGATATAATTAATTTTTTACTATTATTTATGTCTCCAGTTTGACGTTCGAAGTCCCCGTCTTCAGTGCGCTTGATTTGATCAAGGAAATGCAAGAGAGACAACTCGTACAACCTCTTTTTAAGTTTAACCTTGTTCAACAGTCTACAGCACGAATTAAATTAAAATTGTTTTATTTTTTCTTGGAGTATCTTTAAGTTGCAGAATTTTACAAATTTATATTGGATTTCTCTCAAAATGCACAAGAAACGTCCATTTCATTTTGGTCGAAATTACCCCTACTGATTTTAAGGACGCGGGGTAAATTCGACCACTTATTCTGAAATATGTGCAAGTTGTCTTTAACAGCTGTTTAATGCAATGCAGAGTTAGATCTTCAAAATGAAATTAATTATACTGTATATGTACAATATTATGTATTATTTACATATAACCTTTTATATTTTAAAAAAAATATGTCAGATTAATTAACCTATGCATGCCTAGCTATATATATCGTCGGGCCGTTCACAAGGGTGCATCACTGATCGACGTGCGAGAGAACACCGAGGCGGCACTGACTATGAAATAACACATGACGATAGCAAACCAAAATAAATCCTTTCTTTCATTTTTCATGACGTACAATTGCACCATTCTGGTCTTTTTTTTGTATTTTTTTTTTCGAGGGTAACCCCCCTCCCCCTCAGGAGAAGTGAACTTACTTATATTGACACTTCTCGCCTGTTGAAGACTTCGCCTTTACATTATTCTACACATGAATAGAAAGGAATATACGCATATATATAGGTATGAATATTTTATCAAATTATATAAAAAAATCTAACTTACAACTTGAGTCGAAAAAAATTGATTAATCTTTAAATTATGGAGTGACATGTGATCAACCTGATTAAGAATATATTGTATTCCACGTGTTTAACGCGACTTAAAAGATACTGCTTACACGGTGGCTCTCCTCAATCCTTAGGTAATGCTATATCAGGGTTGGATTGGGTGAAAAAATTGGGGAGGGGATCTTAAGATAGCCTCTAGACATATGTTTTTGTTTTGTTTTGTTTGTTTGTTTGTTTGTTTGTTTTGCAACCTTACGTGCCTGTTTCCACTCGATAATAACCCCCCCCCCCCCGCATTCTCTATTCGCAATGCACATAAACATAAAATTGCATCACTCGAACAACAAATTAATATTGAAAAAATATGATTATATAGTTCAACGACTTTTATTTGAATTGAAATAAATCCACGATTATCTACAATTTATCAATATTTGATAATTAATTTCATTTATACATTGTTAATATAGACTGACATTTCGACTTTTACGCGTACGACTTAATATATAATTACCCATTGTAAATTAACAGTGAAATAAATATTATTTAAGAATGTTTCATTTCTTTCCGTGTACTAAATATCACCCTACGTAATGAGCACACTTATGAAAGATAACTCGTGCTCATTAAAGATAACTCGTGTTCGCCTACCTGTACATTGTACCATCTAGCGTTAACCGAAAACCAACGAACCAGCCGTATTAAGATCGTATCACACAGTCCAGGTACAAATCCAAAGAGTACCCAAAATATTAGAGCAACACACCAAAAGAGCTGCAACAATCTTGAAACAAAAAAAAAAAAAACACTATGATGTTACGAAATTAATGATTTGTTTGTTTGAGTTTGTTTTTTTTTTTGGGGGGGGGGGGGTTGGGGGGTTGGAGGAGGATTTCAGAGGACTGCTTCTGTAAATCTCATTTTATATGAGTGACTTGATCGAATTTCTCAGGATCTATCCGGCTCTTTTAACAATTAACTTAACACGTAAAATACGTAATACAACGCATTTCAAATGAATTTGTATATGATAAGAATTAGTGAAGAAAAATATACGCAATTCTAATGCTATGCTCAAACCTTATACATATACGTGTATATACAATTTGAATGAATCTGTTGTGAAAAGACGATATTAAATAAAGTCCCTTTTGGGTTGTACAATTTAAAAATCATAACAAAGAAATTATTTGTGGAATCTGAGAAAATTTTATCTATTCGCATAACTATATAACACCATTTTAAAATACAGAGTTAGCGAATTAAAATGCAGAATTTAGAATAGAGTAAGAATTAAGATGTCTATAAGGCAGCATTGAAAAGCTTGAGTAACCCAACCCATTTCTTTACTGTATGGGTACTAGTACTTATCCATTTTAATCTTTTTATTGAGAGAGAGAGAGAGAGAGAGAGAGAGAGAGAGACGTATTAATTCTCGGACCATAATTTTTTTTTTAAAAAAATGCGACAGGTAGAGTTTACATGCATTGCAAGTGTTATCTTTCTTTTTTATGTTTGTTGTGGTCGAAATTACCCCAAGTCCGGTCGAAATTAACCCATGCAACATGCTTACTTATTTTTAAACCAATTCATTACTTTTTATGCATTTTTAAATCCTAAAGCAGAAAAATATGAAGAAAAAATCATGTAATTTACTTTGAATCTTTTTTTAAACTAGTACATTTGAAAACATTCGTGTTTTGTGGATTGAAAGCCACAAATCAGCAAAAGTGGTCGAAATTACCCCACTCTACCCTAGAGGTAAAATAGGAATCAATATTGAGAAATTAATTACAATTTATGTAATTAAGATAAATCAAGGATGATTTGTTTAAATTTCCTTTTCTCTTCCAAACTGTCAATTACACATCTTCTAGTGATGAAAAATTCAATATGACTACATTTTCTTTTGGACACACACTGTTACTCCAGTGGAATGTCTCTTACACACTGAAATTTGATCACGAAACATGTATAATGACCACTCTCATGGAAAAAGGAATGTTCCGATATTTTTAAATATATAATACAAGAGTTATCTTTCTTCTCTTGCTTCTCATCACGATTGTATGCTACACACTTTTTAAGTAAGAAACCCATTGTTCTGACCATAAAGGCAATCTTTGATCTCGAGCAGAAACATGAAACATGTCTCTTGAACTACATACAGTGTACTAGTAATATGTATTTATAACACAAGAACACGTACTTCTCTCTCTGAAATGAAATGAAGTGGGTGGAATATCAAACACATCCTTTCGAATCGTGAAAGAATGTCTGACACGCTATATTTTTGGCGCCCTTTTATAGTTGATTTCATATGGCTTATATTTCATAGCAAGTTTGGCCAAGTCGGAATATATGGGTTGAATGAACGCTGAAAACGGACAATATACAATAATCTTCCCATTTTTATGGCAATGAGAAGACAAGACCTGTTCTTTATGTAAGTTCTGAAATCCACTAGCAATGACTAATACATGTACAATCTCTCTCTCTGTGTGTGTGAGGGTGTGTGTGTGTGTGTGTGTGTGTGTGTGTGTTGCACTCTTAAACACTCTAACATTGTAACACTGACAACCCTTTTGGGTCTGGTAATGACTTCAATACAAGTCTTGTTCTCTGGAATACACAGTGACTCTCATACATTGATACTCCATTCCTTCTACTGACAATATACAATAGTATACACTTATTTCATGACTACGAGGGGAACGGTCAAACTATTGTCCCGAGGTAATGGGGAAGACATGGGAAACTGTTGCCCGAGGCCGATTGATGATTGATTGTATGTTGTTTTACGTCCCGTTCGAGAATTTTTCACTCATATAGAGACCTCACAATATACCGGTGAAGGGCTTCAAATTTAGACCTTTACTCGGCACTCAGGGCCATTGAGCAGTGAGGGTTCTTATCGTGCCAACGCCTACCGTGACACGGGGCCTCGGTTTTTAAGGTCTCATCCGAAAGACCCGCAACTTTCACTTCAAAGTGCCGAGCGCTTGGCGAAGGAACAGTTGCTACCTATTTTTGATCAACTTAGGTCAGTCGCGGCCGTGATTCGAACACACGACCTTCCGATCACGGAGCGAGCGCTCTACGGCGACTGAGCTACCGTGACGGTCTGCCCGAGGCCGAAGGCCAAAGGCAACAGTTTCCCAGGTTTCCCCATTATTGAGGGACAACAGTTTGACTGTTTCACCGATCGAGTTGTCATGTAATAAGTGTTTTATTACCTAACCTACTATATAATTTTTTAAAATAATGATATTGACATAATAATCATTGGATTTTAAAATATATCGACAACAGTTTGTAGCATTTCTTGAAACCAAACTAACCATTGGCAAGGTGAATATTAATCAAATTCTCACACCGATTGGTGTAGAATCAGAAAAATTAATGGGGTAATATTATCATGCACTAATAAATTGATGTATACATTTATTGTTTAGTAAACAACGTAATGATGACTTGAAGGTTTGAATATGACACACTAAGTCAGACGTTTAAGGCAAAGATCTGTAGTGAGTGAAAGGG